TTGTTCGTTGGCCATTATAAAGTCCTACGACTTATATTGTATATTGTATTGACCTTATCTACATACTGTCAATTATTATTAATAATAACAAAAAAAAAAAATAAAAATGATTACCAATGACCTTATTTTTAATCTTTCAATTTTTTTTTAACCTAAAAATTCCAGGTTTTCCTCATTATCTCAAATATTAAAGAGAATTTCAAAAAATTACCTCTCTAAAGTATCATCTAGAAAACATTTCCTTTCAGAAAAGGTGCTATGTTTGATAACCAAAGTAAGCTTTCTGGTATAAAAAGTGTTCACATAAAAAAAAAAACATCATTGTAAAACCAATACATTCCTTGCTCCACACAGAATCTAAAATAATTCGTGAAATATATACATATATAAGAATTTAAACGATGGATTTTTCGCTCTATATGTTTTTGCACATTTTCGTTCGCTATTTTACTTTTGCTCTATTGTCGAATTAACCTTTAATTCAATGCTATCAATATTATAGATAATATTGTAGTTTAAACTAATATTATCTATTTGTGTTTCTGTGCCTATTAATATTTCAATGTATCAATGTTTTTTTACCAATTCGGTTTTTTTTTTTTTTGTATTTTAGTTTACCTATGGTGTAAAAAATGTTGTTAAATTTCAATTAAGTAAATTCCAACATGCTACACTAATAAAAAATCCATATAAAGCCCGTTGAAATGTACGTATACTTAACTCACTAGATTGGTATATAAATGTCGATAAGGTACTAAAGGAAAAAAAATGGCAATCTAGATATTATGAGTTATCTAGGTTAGTAGACGAATCAACTGTTCATAATTATTCTTAAATTTACAAAACTCATTATAAGTGTGGAGTTCAGCATAACATTTTCTAGAGTGCAGAACGTAGGTATAGTTAAAATATTGTACGCTCGCTTAAAATGTGTTTTGTACATGACTGAAGACTGTAGTGTACGGTATACCTAACCATCTTGCGTTCGCAAACTGTTTTTGTGACTTTTTTTTTTTAATTTATTGTATCATTAATTAAATAAAACACGCGCGAATAAATATTAAATGTACATGCCTAACGTACCTATATAAATTATAATTATTTACGACGAGTAAATACAAACGACAAGTTCGTGTTGAGTTTACATTAGATAAAGTGCACAACGTCTTTATTAAATACGTTTTATGGAAATTATTACACGAGAGGTAACTGGTACATATAAATACGCTGGTACTTACCTATATATGAATTTGAAACAAACTTCGACATTTAAATAATACGAAACGAAAAAAATGATGACACACATTAGATATTTTATAATACATTTTATGATAGTAACAATATTATTGTAATAACAAAATATTTAAAAGGTAACATAATGATGCGTATGAGTTTTTTTTTTTTTAAATCTGTAAATTTTGTTCTATTAGAAATCTTGTTCCGATGATCGTATTTAAAGGAGGTCTTAGACACCAACTTTTACTACTCCTATTATACGGGGCGTGTGCCCACTAATTAATTTACGACTACACCACCGGGCACAGGACACAGGAGTGCACATCAAACACACAAGAACCAAATAATTCTCTCTACGGTCGGATAGTAATTATGTCAATAGTTTCGCGATTAATATTCCAACAGGGAACGGGGACGCGCTCCTGTAATCCGGCCGCTCGGGAGCCGGGTTGCGTGGACCGGTTTAGGTGGGAGAGCGGGCATGGTAAGAAATTACGATTTACGTCTGTGACTTGATGAGGCCATTTTGACAGAAAATTGTCAATGTATTTTAATTTTTTTGGGCTTATATGTCGATCACTCGTCGTTTTTGCAATTACAATGTTTTGTGCAAGTATTTTTTTATTATTATTATTATTTTTTTTTTTTTTGTGAATTGATTGCGTTTAATAAATTTTGGTTGTGTTAAAAAAATCATAAAATTTCTTACAAGAATATTTTTTAGAATCATAATTCATTTGATAGTATGGACATTTGTAATAGAAAATATTCATTATTTTGCTGCATTAGTTCCTGATACTACTAGAGAATATTTTGCGAAAAGTTGTTGATTAATATTTTTTTTTTCTGATATAGTATCACAGATTCCACGCCATCTTTGTTCAATACATACAGACACAATTGTTCTGCTATTTTTTTGAAAAGTCAATAATTTGTAATTTATTACGTTATTGATTACAACATACATTAATACATTCGTCGAAATGATTTTCTTCATCAACTTTCCGATAGATTTGTTTTTTTTTTTTTTCAAAACTAATGTTAAGCTTTTTTGAATATCTATCCCATATAGAATTTTTTTTTAAATTTTTTTTTTTTATAAAAGCGCTCAACGTCAAATTTTAATGAAAATTTGTTTGATAAACGTATAAAAAATGTACCGTTCCACTTCAAACATATAGCGAAGGTACGCTAAAATTCTTGAAAACTTAGTTAAAGTACTCCGTGTCCCAGCAACTCCCGCACGCAATTCGAGCACTGCTTACCGGATACATTCTGCATTCAACTGATGTGGTATAGCTGATTAATAACATATAAAAGTTTATATCAGGGACTAGGGCGCGTTTAAAATCGATAAATATCTTTATAAATTATTATATTATTAATGAATTGGCAATAAATTGAACGAGATACACGGTGTACATTACCGACTAATATGAATACCGTCGTATTATTAGGTATAAATTATGATAATTTCACCGAAATGCGTAGTATAATAATAATTAATAATATTGTGTAGGTGGGTATGCAAATACATATTTGACCTATATAATATTATATAAATAATAATTACACGTACACATTAAATCTTAACATTATTATAGTTTGTTCCGTTAGCATTTATATTTACTTTACCTACTTTCATGTTAATTAATAATATTGGTCATTATTTACATAAAAAATAAAACAACGCATTACGGTCAAGAAAATGAATAAAATACAACGCAAATAATATTGTATTATAATATACAGAGTGATTTGACAAAACAACAATTTGTATAATATTCGATAACGTTTGAGTTATTTTCCTGATAAATATTTTTTTACGATTCTACGCTACAATTAAAATTTTAAAAGCTTTCAGATTCTGAGTGAAGCGAAGAATGTATTGATTTTACAAAGATTTTTTTTTTTTTACCAGAAAGCTTACTCCAATATGTACGATATAGACCTTTTCCTGAAAGGAAATTCTCTTAAGGTGGTACTTTAAAGAGGTTCTTTTTTGATTTTCTCGGCAATTTTCCAAATAATAGGTGAGAAAAAACGGGAAAATGTACAAAATATATTAATAATATACAATGATTTTTTGTTCAGTGGACAACTTTTCTACCAGCGATTTTGCTCCGATTTACAATGATAGCACTTTTTTTAAAGGAAAACTGACTGGGAAGGTACTTTAGGAAGGTTATTTTTTGATTTTCCCAAGAGTTTTCTCAGAAAATGTGAAAAACATGGAAAACCGGTACAATATCAAACAAATATTATTAAAGAAAATATATTATGCCTATTTAATTTTTTACTATGATTTGTTTTTTTTTTAAAAAAAAATTCAAATTATCTATTATATACATTTGATTTTTACGACGAATTTCGATGGTCAGAAATGTTATCTTTTTGGTACTGTGTTCTACGATTATTTTTAAAACCGGTGAAAATTTGAATTATTTTTGTCCGTTTATCTGTAGTAAACTTTAGGTTGTATCAGATATTAATTTACTGATATATTTCTTTACTGAACTAACACTTAAACTTCGGATTTCTTTTTAATTAGAATAACAGTAAATTGTTTGTATTTTTTTTTTTGTTTTTTTGAAAAAGAAAACTTCATAATTTGGCCTATTTTAATTGTAGCGCAGCAAAAAATTTGAGAAAAAAAAAGCCCGTATTCTTACTATACAGTATAAATGTTCGGTTTCTAGTGAATTTATTATTTTGCGAGTAATTAAAAAATATAACCAACCTTTGTTTCTACAGCACGCACGAAATGTTAAACTATGATAATATTTATTCAAAAAATTATTCATGATTTTCACATTACTCTCCCTGTTGTGGCTGTAAATATAAATATTAAATCCTTTTTAATACCCAGTGAAGTGTGTGCGGAATTCTCTAAGCCCCTTCCCCTGTGCTTCACCACGGAACACAATTCCAGAGAGTTTGCACTCGTCGTATTACGTCGTATTATGTAATAATAATTATTACAATAATTTTAATAAGGAAATAATATTTTAATTATTAACAAATCGATGATAATAATAAAATAAAATACGTTTGTCCACCGAAATTTTTTTCTGCGTTTTGTTTTGTTTTTTTTTTTTTATTCTTATTTCGTTTAATGAATGTCTGTATTAATTATAAACAATTATATGAGAAATAAACAATTTTTACTTTAATCAATTTGGTTATTATGTAAAGACGGCTGGATAGAGAATTTAATGTACAAAAAACCTATGGAAAAAAAAATTATTTGCTCTTAAAGTTCCAATAAATTCGTTTAAATGAAGCATAAAAAGAGCTGATACGGACTGATGTATGTTAACGGGTGGGCCTGCACTGCTGTAATTGAGAAGTTGGAAAGGTAGATACAAAGAGTCAATTACTTTATAACTGCAGACAACGGTAAATTATTGTTTTAATGAAAAACGTTTCTCAGCCAAGTTTGATTAAATATTATATTGTTCTGAAATGTCATTTACAATACAATACAATCAAAAATGTCAAATGCCAAACTATTTGATTTTACGATTTTCATAAAAATTTGATTTTCAAACAACTTATGATGAACCCATCAAATTTTTAACGTTACTTTTTGAGAAGCCAAAATAATAATAAAATAATTTATCTACATAAAACAAAATTAAAACGAAAAACTTCACGATTTAAAAAAGTTAAATTAAAAATTTGCTTCACTTAGTTGTTTTAAAAGTTACTTAAAATGGCCTTAAGGAGCTTAAAAATATCGAGAATAATTTGAAAATTTTACAATGTCAAGAAATAACTTACTAATACAAGTACATGGTAAAAATATAAAGTCCTTACGATTATATTGAACCTAATTACAAAAAAAAAAAAAAACAATCGGAAATTACAGAAACTGTTATTATTGCGTAAATTTTTCCGTTTTCTCTCAGTTACTAGGAAAACTACAAGGAATATAAAAACATAATCTCTTTGATGTACCAATCAGACAACTTTATTCCATATATCACCACTGATGTTATTCATCAATACAGATAGGAAAAAAAATACTTATTGTCATCATAATCATTATAGTATAATTGATTGTTATTACTCTAGGATCTGAATCTAAAAAAAAAAAAATGCTCTATAAAATTCGAGAATGTGAAAAGAGTAAAATAAAGTTTTAAACTGAATTTATTGTTATATAGTTTAAAAATTGAACTTGTAAAGCTATATATTATAATACGATATTAAATTATCAAATATATCATGCGATAAGCTAAAAAAAAAAATACAAAGCAATAATAAATGCAGTTTTAAAGGGGACTTGATACCCGCAAAGCAAATTTGCGTTCAGCAAGGACAATTATATTGTGCTTTATATTAGAGTGAATTGACGTATTATTTAACTTAAAGGGAAAATATCTAATATGTTTGTGAAACGGATTTCCTAGATATTTTGAAATATTCATGGGAAAATATGATGTTATAATAAGAGATGATGTGTATGGGAAATTCAAAAATGATTATATCTCGTTTAAGCAATTTAAATATTTCGAAAATCCGTCGTACAAACACATTTCATATTCTTCTTTTTAAATTTGACTGTAGGTTAATTCACTGTTATATTAAAACTAAAAGCATAAATTTGGTTCCGCAGAACGCAAGTTTGCTATATAATTCGTTTGTAAAACCGAGACAACAAATGCACATCTGGCGTCCTCTTAATTATTTATAGGTTTTACCATCTCTAATATATTTCTTGGTTACGCCACTGACTGATACGTCATCCGAATCCACATCCACAAACCTACTCTTATATTTATTTATTTGAATATAATATCAGACGTGAGCACAATTTACAATTCTGCTTTAATATCTTTCTTCTTCTCTTTAGCCTTTATCCCAACACTATTAGGGGTCGGCCACCTTCAATCTATAAACTCCCGTTTAATCCGATCTCCTAGGTCATCCTCGTATACACTGGCCGTCCTCAATAGTATCTAACCATATCTTTTTTGGTCTTTCTCTTTCTATTTTCCCTCTGGTAAATCAGAATTGTCCGGAAAATAATCAGACGGGCTATAAAAATCTGTAAATTTTCAGTAATCATATGGACTGTAATTTTCCGGGGGAAAAAAATTATTAGCAGCATTTATACGGACTGTGAAATTCGGAATATGAAACTCTGTAACTGTCCGAACTGTAATAGGCCGGAAAATAAATGTTTGACCACAATATTACGGACTATAATAATCCGGAATACAAAAAATATACACACAGTCATGTCCCGAACAAGAACTTTCCGGAATTTAACAAAAAAACTGATAGATAGCGATGTTTTGCATACACAGAACAAACAGAATAAACAAATTAAGATTAAAAGAAGGTTCATGGTTTTATGACCGTTTTCAGAGATGGATAGACATGCTCAGACCCAGTGTCACGATTATCAGTATTAATAGTGTTTTTGAAATTCCGAATTATTCTTGTGCGTGGTATTCCGGATTATTATTGTCTGGGACTTTCTGGTTTTGGAATTTATGCTCTCCGGATTTTTACAGTCCGGAATATTCTGGTCAAAGCATTTATTTTTCCGGCCGGTTAATGTCCAGACATTTATAGTGTTTCATATTTCGGATTTTTACAGTCAACCGTTTTTTTGCCCGTAAATGTACATTCCGAAATTTCACAGTCCGTACGATTATGTTCTAGCAGAACTTTCCTTTTACGTCTATTTTCATTACAATTATTACTGCTTTTCACATGTCTCTCATCGTGGCATGTCTAAATCGTTTTAGTCCATTTTCTTTCATTTTTCCTTCTTCCTCTTCCCCTCTTTCTTCCTACGTTTATTTTCAATAGTCATTCTTATTGTTTCCACTACCGGATTTTACCGGCTTTCGGTTTTACCGGTAGAGTTTTCCTGGGCTGGAGCCAAAAAACAATCTATTACAAATAACTCAATTTTACCTCTTTATAAAAAAAAAAAAAAACACAAATGAAAACGACTGTACAGAATAATCTATTTACAAATGTTTAATACGTTAGGTGTCTGTTATGAGTTTATGATAAACAATTTACATTATAATTTACAATGTATTTATTTGTATGTAAAAATACAATATTTTTTATAATGTACACAAGGCTAATTCCTTAGATATTGAAGCCTAATAATAATGATAAAACAAATGTATGACTAATCGTATACTTGATATTGTTTTTCTCTTATTTTTAAATCTCCAACACTACACTAAACTCATAGGGTAATTTATGAGACTATCGTTGCATGTGGTAGCCGAAGACGCGAAGTTATTATAGACACAGATAGTATAATATACGACTATATTTCCGTAGAGCCGAATTAAAATAAAACGTTTTGTAAACATAAAGTTTCGAAATTATTGCGAATTTTCGAAACGTACTTGAAATATTACGAATTTATCGCGAGAAAAAAGACCGCTTTATCCAGGGCACTTAATCCGGCCTTGTCTCCGATCCCTCGCGACGTTCCCGGATCGGCTAGGTTTGTTATCTCCGTTATATTATACAGAGTTTAGAGTTTTATACATCATCTAGATGAAACATTCAGCTCGGAAACGCGTTCCAGTGGGCGGAGTATCGAGGACGGAAACGCGGGAGATAATAAACGGAGTGTTGCGATTGGCCGTGCTTGGAGTGCAAATTTGCTCTCTTTTTCTCTTGCTCGCACTTGGCTTTACATCAGCCCGTCTCTGTCGATCCGTCAGGACACCTCGTCCAGTCCTCGGGGCTAAACGTTCCGTCTAGACACACGAGCCTGCACGGGTTATCGCTCGTTTCGTTTATACAACCGAAGCCACGCCCGTGTGTTTTCATAATGCCTATGCTACCTCTCGTGCGTCCTCGTCACTCGGCTCGTCCGGCCGCGCGTTCTTATCGTCTCCGTTCGGTCCTCGCGCGCATTATCATAGACACCTATACACGGGATCGTATCGTACGCGTTGCAACGTTACGCGAGGACGTGCGGTACTGTTATATGTGTGCATGATACAATACGGTAATTTCCGCATTATCATAATATCGCGAGCGATACGATAAAATATTATACGGAGGGTACAACTCGGTATTATCGCATACCTGTATAACGTATACGACGACGGGTACGATACAATAATAATAATAATAATATACGCGCGATACATGCCGATCCGAATGCCGAGCGAAATTCACGAGCGTATACATTAACCATTTATGTTACGGACATCGTACTATTATGATATATATTCCGCCTTTGTGTACGGGATACGTATAATATTCTGAACGCGGGTATACGACGTGTACTGGGTGGGAGGGGGAGAAGGTTGTCTGCATTCTACAGCAAACATAAATAAATAAATAAAACCTCAAGAAAAGATATCCCGTCGAAAATCGCGTGCATAACATATCGTACTAGACATACGTATGCATTACAGGGTGTCTATTGGGAAATATTGTTGGCGAATCGTTGCTATTATATAACATGCAGGTAAGTGTAGTATGATAGAAAAGCTGTTCTAGGATAATAGGGACGGCCGTAGCCTCTGTTGTAGTTGGAAAGTTTGGAATGTAGGATGTAGACGGGAATTTAATGCATCGATTAGCTATTGCTAACGAAAAACGACTCTGAGCCGAGTTCGATTGATACAATGTTGCTTAGTCGACGATGTACATCTCATATTATGGTATAATTCATACGCATTAAACATTTTCTCTAACAATATTCGTTTAATGTTTCTTTTCCGGTTCTTCCGGTTTTCCCGTGTTTTTTTCCCTATTTATTGAAAAAACTCCTGGAAAAGTTAAAAAATGACCAATGCGTTCAGACTACGGTGAACGTTTCAGAGTATCCCAAAGATAGATGGCATGGTCCCTTACAATAAAGGGATATCCTACGGGGGAAAAAAAATCTCATTTGATAATCAAAAGCGGTTCTTTCGAGGCGATGAATTATAATTGCTAAGTAGTTGTTTACTAAAAGGTTAACTAAAAAATTTAAATACAAAAATAAATAAAACCAAAAATGCGAGTAATGCCTCGAAGAACGGTCACATTTCGGCAATTATTTTTTTTTCTTGGAAATTTAAAGGCACCGTTTTTCAATCATTTAACATAAAAGTTAAAAATTGGTCTTTTTAAAAAAAAAAAAAATTAATTTTAAGCTTTTCGTATTATTATTTGACATCAAAATACAACAAATCGGATTCAACCAGTAGATTAGTGGAAAAATCGTATTGTTTGACGATTGTCGAACCTAACGTAACCATTAAAAATCGGAAAAACATGGAAAACCCGACCGAGAAAACCATGCATTGTGCAGTAAAACCAATGTACAACCGATAGTATAGGAAACGGATTTATAATATGTAAATGGATATTTTTATTAGAATGCAGGGACGCTTGATGAGAAATGTTCACGATTTAAATCGTTTTCTTAATAGACGGAAGCCAATTTTATTTTACACATTTTACGTACATACTCCACTGTGATATATTAAAACGTTTCCGGCGTTCCGTTAACCATACGTTTTTAAACCGCGCCGCAGTGTACGAAAACAGTCGGTCGTCGATGTGTTTCTAATTTATCGGTTAGGTTTTTCGTCTCCAGTCGTTACCTGCCTGCCCATTGCAGTATTTGATAACATTAATTATCGAGGCGAGTCGGTAGCGTCGATCCGTCTTCTTTAGCGTTACACTAAGCGATCGGCCGCAATCGCGCGTACGCGAATTTAATGAGAAAATACCACCTGCTGTAATACATTTGCATAACCGCGACATTGACACGCGTGCGGAAATGTCGGAAAACCAACGTTTTGTTTTCCCCGCGCGTTTCCGGGGTTTTTCGCACAGGTTTTGCGAATCATACGCGTCCGTTCGTTTTCGCGCGCTGGGCTCGTAACACGCGGTGGACACGTGACGGCACTGCGCGCACGGAAATTCGGACGACCCTGTATATTATATTGTATTACATATCATACGGGCGCTCGATTCAAGGCCTGAAGGTGTTATTCGTAATATTATATAAATATACCGCTAAACGCATTTTGTTAAATTATATTCCCGAGCCGTTTTCGTCAGACCGCGCGGTCCGCGAGGATTGTATAGGTAGTGCACTTTATATTATTATTGTTATTATTGTAATACGTTTTTCTACCGGGGCGACGATCGCAGAGTCATTAGCCCGGAGTCCGGAACCTAACCGTAAAACGTCGTGTATCCGGTAAGCGTTTTCGATTCGTTTCCCGGCCCGGGCGAACGCCGTTCGCGCCTAAATAATAACACGCGCAATTTATCACTCGCGGGACGCTGCGCTGTGGCGCGCATATTGTTGCGGGGAGACGCCGCGCCGAGACGACAAAGTGCGCGGATCATTGGCGTGTTTCCATTAGATCTCGGCGGGCGCGGAACCCCATCCGTCGGGGGCCCGGTAATAATGCCGTAACTAGAGGTCGGATTCATAATCTCTTCAAATCCGCGAAAATATGATGTTTTTACGTCGTTTAAAATAGACAATGCATTCTATTAGCGTTCTTTTAAAATACCGGACAAATGATGTTTTATTTCGTTAAAAGGGCAAAATATTCCATTTATATTCGGAAAAAATGAAAACAAATTCATTTAAGTTTTCAGCTTGAGTTGAATTGTAGTATTAATTCGGTTACGTTTAACATATTACATTTTAAATTTATTTTGTTTTTATTTATTTTACAATCGTAACGGCTAACGTTATTTTGTTATTTCTGACGCGCTATCGCCATCGATGAGAAATATCCATTCATTAGTGAATCCATTCATTCGTTAGTATCCATTCATAGTGATTCATTTTTATTAGAAACCCAGAAGAATAAAATCATGACCGTCTTGTAAAACTAATTGTATTTGTTGAGCAATATTATCAAAACGACGATATACATACAAATAGTAGGATCAAAAATAAAAATATTTATAACGTATCATCAAAATCTCAAATATTCCCTAACGTATTGAATATTCTTTAAACCCTATGGTTCATGAATCGCGAAGATATCTCTTCCCCCCCCCCCATTAAACTGCTTACACTAGAAGCAATTATGTAAAATCATAAAAATCCGACCTCTAATCATAACATTATTCAGGCGATTCGTCTCCGTTTTCCTTATCGCACGATCCGCGGCGGTGTTAAATGATGATAACAGCACCACGACCGCCGAACATCGTACGCGCAACGGACAATATAATACGAGTGTTATCTGTCCATAAGCGCACATAGAGGGTTGTTAGGGGACGCTTAGATCCCCCAGGCTTCAAATTAGCACCCACCAATCTCCCAGAGTAATTTGTTTCACTATATTTCACCAGGCATCCGTAAATTATTGCGGTGTATTCGTTCGGATAAAATATTAATTTGTTTCTATTATAAATAGTTCACGAATTCACGAAATTATATTGCAAACATTTACAATATAAAATTAAGTTAAATCTTGTGCAATATTAATTAGTAATTATAGATTATAATTTCTTTTTAAAACATAACGAATTATGTGAACGATCTATTCTCGTGTAGACTACACAGTTTAATCGATTAATTTGAATAAACAAAAATGCGATTATGATATAAACATTTATACAATTTTAACTTTATAATTATTAATTATTAATTTGTCCATAATGTAGATAAATTGTACTACCTACTTGTATATTATACAAGTATAATTAATTCAAGTTTTGATTTATTATATTTATATACAAATTGTAAATTATTGTCGTATAGTCTATTGTTATATTAGAGAAATGGGGGTTAAAATTTCCCCCCCCCCACGGATATGTGTATCATAAATTATTCTAGCAACTCCTAATTTCGAACCCAATATGCGTCTATGGATCTACCGCGACGATCGAACAAATACGAACAACGATTGATGACATATCGCGACGCGAACGACGATTATTTCGATTTTTTTTTTTTTACTATTATCTGTTCGTTATTATAACTATGTTCCCTTGAAAATTCACAAATAAACGTAAAATAGCGGCAAAAAAAAATATTTAAAATATCAAACACGAATACACGGGTTTAAAAGCTCTGTTATAACTTATTCGGCTAAATTTTCCAACACTACAAAAATGACTAACCCAAAACGATTTTTTTCAAATAAAACTATAATAAGTGCAATATTCCGACAGCAATTTCCCCTTTTTGTTCATCGTTTTTGCAGTGTTAAAACCCTCTATCATTTTTGCTCTTTATAAATGTATCCATTAACTGTTCTCATTCCAAAGTGACTGTTGTGGAATACGATAGGCCAAGACTGTTGAAAAAACCGTTCGGTATGACCAACTAATATTTTATTACATATTTTCAACAAAACAAATAAATATAATTTTTTTTTTTTTTTCCTATAGTGTGACTTAGGCATGTTTATGACGATACCTAACCCGCTGTACAATTACTGAGGGCGCGAGTGCGCTCCGTAACAACGCCACTGGTGTAGGGTATTGCCACCGTCGCCGGCACCGACGGTTGACAAGAGAGACCCGAGACGCCCGTGATCGCGTTACAGATTTGTGTGCCTGCTATAATGTTATAATGATAAACCGTATTATAGGTACCGCACGGTTGTCGTCGCGGGACGGACGACGTATGAAAGGTACTCCCGGGACCGTGGACGTCCGTCAACGGCGGCGTGTGGGGTGGAGGGTACTATTTTTACGCCCGCGGGCAGAGAAACAACGTTCGTTGTTTTCGTATATTTATTGCGATCTTTCCGTACCGTTTCCCGTCCGCAGCTGGCCGCGGTTTTATCGCCGTCGTCCGCGGTCCTGAAGCCGGGTGACGATCGAGGGATAAAAAATAAATAAAAAAAAAAAAAAAAAAAAAAGAAGCCAGGACCGTCAATCGCTCGCGCTTCATTAGGCCCTCGGCGGCGCAGTGCACCGGGCCGTCGTGCGCCGCAAATGCTTTCCACTCCGTCACCCCGCGCCCCGTCCCGTCCCGCCGACGCACGACGGGTTTAGACCTTTGCGACGGCCGCGGTAGCGGCCGAAGGGACGACGGTGGCGGCGGCGGCGGCGGCGGCGGCGGCAGCGGCGGTGATCGGGCGGAGACTACGGCGAACCGCCGGGAGGGGGAGGGGGGTGGCAGCCGGTGCAGTGCGCTTGCGTTGGTGGTCCACCGGGCCCAGTCTCCGGGGCTGCCCGCGCCCGGTCGATACACTCCCGGTCGGTAGGTTGCCGTGTGCGGAGGTGCACCACCACGAGCCGTTCAACAGCTCGCGCGCGCCACATCTCCACACGACCGACAGACAGCGACAGACGCGGCCGCCGCGGGCAATGCGGCCAACGTTTGAATCGTTGTAGCGCCACCGACGACGACGACGACGACGACGACGACGCCGCCGAGGGAGCCGTCTACCTGCATCGGACACCGGTGAGTATACACCACACCCCTACACCCTGTATAATATTATGGGGACGCGCGCGCGTGACGGTATCGCGTAAATTATTAATTTTCCGAAAATCCGAAATCCACGCAAACCTTCAGGTACAGTTTGTCCGTACTGTCTGAACGGTGTAGTAATACGCGTTTCTAATGAAAATTCCCGCAAGTCGCGACGCCGTACCTACGATTACGCGGAATATTCGCCCCCTACCCCCAAATTCGAAAATATAATATTTTTGAGACAACGTCCGTTTTTAAATATTATCGTTCTTTGTTCGTGTACATAATCGAAATGCGTATTACAATAGGACACGTTTTATACTATCCGATTAAATCGTATGCGTCTTGCGTATTATAATACGCATGCTTTACGTTTTCGAGTACGCGTTTTGTGTTATTTGTTCGAAATTACTCGAAAAACAAAATACAAAATGATACTTTAAAATTAAATCCTACGGCGAACCGTCCCGTGCGTGTATGTATGTATAAAGCATTACGTATCGCGTATGGGATATGCCCGTCGTTCTATACGTAGTCCGCCAAATTTCCGGTCCGACCCCTGTAACGCAAAGCAAAATCAATATTGCAATGTAATCGAATGTAATAAAATACTTGAAAAAAAAAAAAAACAAAACAAAACAAATATGAGTGCCGAGTAAATATATACAGCATCGTATATTATACACGCTAGTGTACAGTTTGATATTACGCATAGGATTTACAACGTGGCGAGGGTTAAACTCGCTCGCGTCATATCAAACGTTGTTGTATTCAACCCTTTCACTGCTGCTACAACCGTCGATTTCCAAAATCGTGACCCCATTTTCGAGGGTTGAACGTACAACGGTATACACGAAATTTGGCACCATTGGTTTTTCTTATTAGACGTTGCCAGCGCGCGTTGGTTTTTTCGATTCTGAGCGCCGCGATGAATAATGCAGATATATTATATTGGTTATACTACGATGTTTGTATTATTTTCGTCTGTCCGTAAACAACGTTTCTACCAGAAATCTTGCCCCGTTTGTAACGAGAGCCTTTATTCGTTGGATGTCGTGTCCAGTTGGAGCATTAAAGAGTTAGTATTTTTACATTCCCTAAGGGTTTTCATAATGGTTGTGAAAAACCGGAATAAAACGTAGAAAAAACGTAAGAAAGTTAACGGCTTTGGTTTCGTATTTTTCGACTTTTCGTTTTTTCGTTTTAAGTATGTTGAAAATTATCGTATAGAGCTGAAATGTCCACAAAATACTTATAGCGGTCTTTTATAGACGCGGTAAAATTGGCAAAACTCGTATAACTAAACCTCGCTCAGAATCGCATTTCTTTGGCAACAGTAGATCATTTTCTACGGATGTAAATAAAATAATTTCATGTATTATTTCCCGACATTTTAGCTACAACAGTGGCACGTCCCACCAGCATTATCAACTCTTTTTATTTTATTGTTTCGAACGTAACAGTACGTCTGGAACAGCGAAAGGGTATGTACTATAATATCACCATTGTGACGTATTCGTCTCGTCGGAACGTAGTTTTAAATATTCCGGACGGTAATTACGGTAATTACAAAATATTGAATACTTTAATATTATCGGTTTCGGTGATTCGCAGATTGTTAACATTTATGTTTCTCAGGTTTCGGCGATTCGCAGGTTGTTAACATTTATGTTTTACAGGTTTCATACTACAATAGCTAATAGCACGCAGTACATATATGGGCGCCTGCATTTTTTAAAAATTACCAACGGTTTGTGTATAACGGGTACAATTATATTATAGATTATATTATTAATATGATTTTATTTAAAAGCGTTTACAATTATTGTCGTTTGCCCCGGAGTTATCGTCTTGCACAACTCGCCGCAAGCATTATAATAATATGTTATATCACATTTTAAATAATATCGGAAATGTGTCCGTTTATTGTGCATACAAAAATTATTATCGTATAATTATGTACTATCGTTGTTCCGTCATTTTAGTGCACTAATAAATTGTAAAAATTCAAAAGTACAAAAACAAAATTTATTACGTTAATGTCGACTGTCTTCGTGCACTATACCCGGTCCTTGCAATGATTAAATTTAAAGGCCCTTTCGCCTTTGTCGTAAACTCTAAAAATATAATTAATTTCTACGCCGGCCGCGATGTTATTAATAAATACGCGCCACGCGCATCAATTGAACGCGTCTATTAAACTTTTTCGTATGTTTTGAGCCATTCGCACCTGACGTATTATACGTCGGTTCGCTACTCGGTTTTACGGGGGTGCGATATCGTGAAATTGTTAAATGGGGAAGTTTTGGGCAGCGGTAATTTTTCCGTCTTCGTCTAACGCACGTACAACACGGGAAGTTTTAGACGCGTTTTAAATTAATTCCAAACGATCCAACGAAGCGATACGATTTCCGGAAACAGATTTGAGTTTGTCATCGAGTGTACACTCGAGATCGACTTCTCCCGCTTTTTGATTTGAATTTCTCCGAAAAATTGAAATATCCCATATTTTTTTCAATCACTTTTCTTTTTTTTTTTAGTGTGAACTTTCTTAAAAAGTGATAAATTATGCAATTTGGATCTCAAGTAGATTTGACGGCAAATTCAAATCTGTTTTCAGCATTGCGTATATCCCTTCGCTGCGTGTTAGACAAAGACGGAAATTTATCACTTCCGATCCTTTTTAACGTTTTATAATTATATTTCCACCGGGATCCCAATACGTGTACGCAAATCTATATAGTATAATATGTACCGACGATTTACCGCAATATCTGTGATAACGTTATTATCCATTTGACAGCACATCGAACAATATAGTATCAGATACTTGCACAGATTACATATATAATATAATATAATAAACTAGAATGCCAACTGGTGATAAGTAGTGAAGTCTCAATCCGTCATTTAATTCGAGGCTCGTAGACCTTATCATCCACTTTTATAATATTGTGATAACTTATATCCAAAACCTGGAAATGACATAGCATATGAAATCGACAAAAAGCATCAAACTATACCCGATCAAAAGCACAAGCTTACGATGAGAAAACCCCAAACGGAAAATATGAAATTATTTTAAATCGTTTTCACACCGGAAGACTGTCCCACGGTTATCTTATATCCAGAGAAGAACCTCCATTAAACACGCCATAGTCACCGATTGTCTTCAGTTTCAAACCGACCGAATCAACTTCATCATAATATCTGAAAATCTTGAACCCTCTCGTAGACCCAATCCGAGGCTCGACGAAGAGCATCAACAACTTTATCGAAATTACCAATTTGTACGGTTAAATTTAATAATCGTTTTGATATCGTCTCTCGTGTTATATTCTGTTATTCCGTTTAGAATTACCGTAAATGATTTTATGATCATTATATCATGAACCAATGGCCGCGCAGTCGACGTTTGAAAAAAAAAAAAAAAGCATACGGTAAGACCGTACGGGCTTCGAATTAAATGGCTGCCGTCCCAATTCAATTGGACAATATTTATAGCAGTTAGTTACCTAGTATATTATTATCTGTGTCTGTGGATACCTATAAAACGCAGTAGGTGAACATGCGACAGTGCAGTGGTCGAAAACATTCTAAAATGTATTGCACGTCGTGGCAATTTGCAGGACACGTTTTATTGTTACGCGGGGGAGACACGAGTTGACACTATCTCCTTCGATATCGGTATTTTTATAATGTGTCGCTTATATACCGATTTATTTTGTGAACGACGAATTTCCATAAATCTATTATAATATTATACAATGCAATTTTCCAAAAGCGTTTATTTGTTTGTTTTTTTATACTTATAACACATCATCGTGATACGCGTACATACAAAAATCATTAAATTCAATACAAAAAAATTTATTTTAACCATACAAATTTGATTCGTGCAAGTCATCCCGTTGGATGGCTACAATTTTCGCAATATAATTCACGATAAAATCATAACGGTTTAAAAACATGTATAATGATTAAATTTCATTTATTTTTCACAGTATGAAAATGAGATTGACGGGGTTTTTTTCCTGAGTGTATTGTTTTCAATGCAATTTAATTTATTAATTCATTTTTAATTTAATAATAACAATATATACTATGCCTAACCATAGTTTAAAACACAACGAGAGTTTGTTTTAATATTATTGGTTGACTTATATACTGACGCTCCTATTTCAGTCGGTAAAAATTAAAATAAAAAAAACGAATTATCAATTTGTTAGTTAATTAGATTAATTGAAATAATTCTTTTGATAGGAAAAGGGTGGTTTTTTTTTTTAATTTACTTAAATGCATACAAATGCCTTTGGAGAGGTCACCAACAAATTATACGCTACACACGCCTATCCGACTAATGTATAAATTAGTGTCCGTTTGTATAATTTAATTTCGATCGTATTATATTATCAGTGTATAAATAGGTGATACGGTAAATCTTTTCAAACGTTTCATTGATCCAGAAACACGCAGGAGCTGAAACCCGAGTAGTAGTAAAAAGGTCTCAGATTTAAGGACATCATATCAAAATCAAGTATGACGTTAAAACAACCGAAACTATACATAATATACTGACATATTAATGTATAATGGTTACAGAGTACCGATTTCAGGAATAGTGGCGACGTATACTGTTTAGCGTAATCGTGGTATATGATCTTATGGAAAATCTATATTCAAATCGCTCTTTTGATACGTGACGAAAATGTGTTACCGCACAAGTTTTACCGCATAGTATTTTCTGCGCATCACTCGAATAAAGTGAAACACGATACAATAATATTAGTAAATTACAGTCAACTTGTGGAGATACTTAAAAATATTTTATATGCGTGAAAACTTTGAAAAATATAAACCAAAAACTACTATTAGATTCTGATGAGGAATGTATTGGTTTTACAATAGATAATGTTTATTTTTTATTTTTCTGTGAACAACTTTTCTACCGGAAATTTTAATCTGATTTTCAAGTGTAGCACTTTTTCTGAAAGAAAATTTAACTGGAATGGTACTTTAAGCAGGTTATTTTTAGATTTTATCAAGGGTTTTCATAATAAATAAGAAAAACCCGGAAAAAACGTAGAAAAAATAGGAAAATGTATGAAATGCATGATTTTCAAATCGTAAATACTACGACCTTTCAAAACATGTATAACCAAACTCTGTTCAAAACCGTTTTTCGTTAGCTGCGATTAATCGTCGCTTGCAGATATATACGTAAAAAATTTCTCCCTTTATCTTTCCAATTACTCACCCACAACAGTGACCCACCCATCGCGTGAAGTATGTCCATATCTTTATCATTTTATTTTTTTTTAACCAAAGCATAGCATATAAAATTAACTGGACTGCAATATTTCTGCAGTTGGTATTATTATTAATTTGTCTCCGACATAACAACTCAAAGTTATTGACGTTAAAACTTTTACCGAACCGACCGCGACGTTTTAACTTTGATTTCTCATTGATGTACTACTGCGGGTTTATAAAGTGACCACGGTAGCAGAGAAAACTTATAATTGGACGACGACTGTATAATATTATATAAATATAATACGTGCATTCTCGGAAAGGTATTTTATTTATGACGTCATCTTTTCAAAAATGTCGGTTTCCCAATTATAATTTTAATCGTCAGTCGTGTATGAAATCTATGCCATAAGGTTTGGGCCGGGCATTAATGAGTTAAACAGTTAAACAGCAGTTAAGTTGAATTTAACTTTTAACTTAATAATTAACTAATTGATTTTGGATCACACCACTTTAATATAATTTCAATTTTTTTTTATTTTAATACAATTTTCCATTTACAATGAATGGGTTTATACCATTGTATAAATAATAATAATTGTTTCCTTTACGTCATTATCAAGCGTACCTATAGGTTTATAAGTTTAAAAATAAGTACAATTTGATATCCCCAAAGTGAACCCCCAGTATTGTGTTTAACATTAATCATCCTTATTTTCAAACTCAATGTTTAGGAATTTTACAAAAAGCCAAAACAATTAATTACGTTAGTAAGTTAATTAAGTTTTCGAATCAACTTCTGATTTTAACTAAGCTAATTAGATAATAGAACAATGAGGTCGGGAGGATATATTCACAATGTTAATATTGAGGCCTTTATGCCTCCGATATGCGCCTTTTGGGAGTTCCAACCACCGCCCCCACAATTGTTTTTGATACAGTCACAGTGAAGTGTACGAGTACATACTGTCACATGAGGATATACTCATTTTATATTCAATATTATTTATAAAATGGGTATAACTTCGTGATACACCCTGTATAGTGTTGTATTATTACAATAGGTATTCGGTTATTTATTGATGTTTTATTTTTTTTTTTTTTTTTTAGTACCTATAAAATAAGTAAGGGAAATCCGATTCAATAGCGATGGAGCTCTGCTGTTCGTTAAAGGGTGGTTTTTTTCACCCTCACGCAGCTGTACAGTCTTAATCGCGTGCACGATACGTTGTAAAATTTAATATTGTAGAATTATTTCGTTTTAATATTGTATACTTATATACACAATATACACACAGCACCGTTCGATGAAAACGAATAAAATTAAAAGTCATATTTAGTTTGCTCATCGGCCGGCACGCGAGCGAGCGAGCGCGCTCTCGGTAAGGGATTAATTCGTTTATATTTTTGTGTTCGCAACTGGAATTTTATTTCACCGGTCTCCTCTAATCCCGTAATAAATTTTCGCTCGCTATACAGACCCAGAAAAACACAGAGCGCAGTGGTACTAATGGACGGATAATCATTAGTTAAAAAAAAAACCCGTTTAATCGTTATACTCCATGTTGTGGGATAAATTGAATTTAAATGCGTTTAAATTCCAATGGGTCTCCACACTACCGCACGCAGCGCTGTGATTAGATATACCTATATAAACGCGCGAAATCCGTTTTACTATTATTTTAGGCTGCAGTACCTACGCTATTATCAAATAGACGCTAAAACACTCTTGTTGTCGATGATAATAATGCGTCTTGTATAGTATCGATAATTCTGGCGTTTGGCCCAGTCAATTCGGAAATTTCACGGAAAATATGCAAATACCCTGCAAAATGTAATTTTCAGCATTCGTGTTAAGCGATAAATGACTAGGCGATATTAAACGGGTATGCCTACCTGTACTTGTATTGTAATTATTTATGGTAGGCCGTTAACTTTAACTGTAAAAGTTTTTCACTGGTGTACCAATGAATTTGCCATTTTAATTAAAAATACCCATTATGTATAATCGAACTTATATTATTAATCTTACAAATCGTATTAATCGATTGCAAATAATCGTTTGATGTATAAGTACGAGTAGAATAATACGTGCAATTCAAACGCTGGTGCACACGAATTCGGTTCTTGTATGTGAACAAAAAAGTAGACTGACATAATACTTCGCGCGATGGGTGGGCCACTGTTGTAGTTGAGTAATTGGGAAAATAGAGGAGAAATTTAATGTATATTTGTACGCAATGATTAACCACTACTAACGAAAAACGATTCTGAGCGGAGTTCGGTTAATAGTGTTGCTTTCAAACTTTTATACTAAAATTTTTATAAAACAAAATTCTTCATTACACTCAATTTTTTTAATTTACTAAAAACTACGACTTATAATAAACCGGGTAAATTTCTCTTGTGTGGACTCCAAAAGGCCGGGTGCCTACGTGTAATCAGCACGGCGTATAATAATGTGCAAGAATAGTTGAATATAATATATTATATGAGCTTTTTACGCCACTCGACCTATTTTTATCAAATTTCTCGAATAAAAAATAAAAGGGGGGAAAAAGAAATATTCAAGTGTGTCAATCCTGAATGGCCATGAAACACAAAGACGAAAGATTTTTATGACTTTTATTTTTACATTTTTATAACGCATGAAACTTTAATATTTTCCATAGCCGTGTTCCTATAACCGAACATAACCGATTATAACCTATAACCGATTGACACGAAATACCAAGTACAAACCATGTTCATATAATATCGACATTTATTTTTTTTCAAGTTTATATGCACCTACACGAATATTACGATGACTTAGCTGTACAATTATTGTGCTTGCCTAAATATGTATCGCGAATTATTCGGCTAGTCTGCGTTTACTTAACGATGATTATTTTACAAACTGTTCATTCCGCCAGCCGCGGCAGTTCAGTTATGCGTACCATTTCAGTTATGCAAATAGTTTTAGTGCATATAATATGCTTACAGATTCAATGTGCAATATAAATTCATATTGTTGACTTTGCAGCGGAGTATTTGAATATTATAGTTTCTGATGATCGATAGTAATTGTGACTTTGTGTTATAGATATTTTGTACGCAGTACAGTTCTTGTACGCAGTCGTAGAAAAATGCGAATGATCTCGATAACGTATTGCAAAAACGAAAACAATGCAATATAAAATATACCTACAGCGTTTAAGTGGTGGTGGGATAAGGGACTATAATATATTTTAAAGAATTTTCCGTGGCCCAAACGAGTGAAATTTAAATGGGGTTTTTTTCTTTTCCGTAAATAGAGAGTATAAAAATATTTTTTAATATTCTAAGCGTAGCGAGGAATGTATTGGTTTACTATGATGTGGCCTTTCTTTCTCGTATCTACAAACAACTATTTTACCAGAAATCTTGCCCTGATGTTTAAGTGAACTATCTTTTCTGAAATAAAATTGTATTTAGTTGGTATATTATGGTGAAGTCGTTTTTTAAGTTCCTTGTAGTTTTCTTACCAACTTAAAATCGGGAAAAAGCGTAAGAAAATTAACGAATTCACGACAGTAAGAATTTCATTATTTTTTTTTTTTTTTTTTGTAATTCAGATAAAAGTAATTTGTAGAGATCTAATATTTTCACAGAATACTTATATTAGTATTTTCTAGACTTGGTAAAATTTTCAAAATATTCTGGCGGTTTCTAAATTAATTATAGGTCTTTTAGAATTTCGAATTTGTTTAGTTTTCATTTAGTTTTATGTGGATACAATTGTTGTGACTGAGCAAAAATAATTTGTAACTAAGTTCAGCATAGTTTTCAGCAATTTGTTTTTTTTTTATGGGCTTAAGGTAAAATTTTGATGAATACATATCATGAAAATTTCGAAAAATGTTATAGGAGATAGGTACAACCGAACTTTGCCCAGAATCGTATTTCGTTGATTGCAACTTTCGAACGTCATTTTGATTTATTTCGTTAATATCGAATTACCTATATATGTTTTGATTTTTCTAAACAATTCTAAATTTTATAAAAAAATTATATTATCCTCGATTGTTTTTGTAAATACGAGTGTACGACCAATTTATCAGGTATCCGTTTCATATTATTATACAAGCATGCGTGTAAAACGTTAACCTATACGAATATACGGAACAGTTGAATTAATTGAAACTAAAGTTTAATTTTAAAATATCGCAGTTAGTAATTCAGTGTAGTTAAGGAAATTTTAATTGGCCATCACATAATAATATCACGGCCCGATCATTTGAGAAAATCGTTCGAAAACGTTGGTTTGATCGGAACCGTAAGCAAAAGACAATTGATCGGATTTTGACTAGAAGGTCTCAAATTCCAACCTCACCCCGCTCAAAAAAAAAAAAAAAACCATTAATTACATTAATCGGTTATCTCTGACAATCACGTTTGTCGCATTAATGCGCAATCCGCTATCATATTTTTTTAGTTGTATAACATTACATCCAGTATATTTACAAATTGTTTGCGTTTTTTTGGGTTGTTTCTTTTTTATATTTGTTTTACTGATGAAAGCCGTATTATAGTGATAGCGTCGGGCGTGCAACTAGCTCACACCACGTAGTGAGATAAAAATTTGTCAGTTTTTTTTTTCTTTTATTTATATTACATTTATATACTATAATAATAATAATAATAATAATAATAATAATAATAATAATATGTGTACAGTGTTCATCGTGCGCCACGCCCTGTTAAAAGCTTTGAAACGTGAGTTACAAACGCTAAAAGAATAACGGTATAGAATTTTGGTTTTTTTTTTTTTTTTCGTGTTGTGCTCGTCTTTCCGTTCCCGGCAATTGTATATATATTATAATTGTGTGCATTTGTAAGCGTGGGCAAAAAAAAAATGTGAGATAATTTATTTTTATTCATTTTTAAGTACCACCATTCCATCTCCTCCACCCCGCACAGACAAACCGAATAAACTGACGTTAACGAATTTCGCCTTTACGACCGCGTCCCATTCGAGTTTTTCTATTCCCGACAATGTTTCGGGGTGGTTGTATTTCAGGCTATATTTTTCTCTCAAAAAAAAAAAAAAAAAATAAAAAAAAAATACGATTCCTTATATTTGACGTCTATATAACATAAATTCATTCTTACGTACATATTTTATAAAAGATTCCTTGAATTCCAAACCCATTATGTACCCGTGTCGCCATGAAAAATGTATCAACTGGTGGTCCCTAAAAGTTTATTAGATTTGGATGGTTCAGGTGATACGTTTTTCTTATCTTTTCCGTGACAGCCGAAATCGAAATATCATTTCCCTTTGGGACGTCTATTGAAAACGAATCGTCTAACGAAATACTGGTAACACGTAAAACTATAATACAAGTCGTAGAGAACTTACAATGTTATGTTGTAAATCAATCGTTTTTTTTTTTTTTTAATGTGAACATATTCCTTAATTTATAAATAACGTTAATTACAGGGGTTTTTTTAAACCAAAATAAACATTTTTCCGTTCACCCGTATTGTATTTTATTTATTACTCTATTGATGATAATAATTATACTACGTTGACGTTTTCTATTAGATATCAATAAAAACTGTTCGTTTTCTTCAGGATGAAAAATTTGCTCGTATTCCACTTTATATGCTGTACGTATGCCTAACCGAAAAAAGCAAAAAACCATTTAATTTGTATACATTTTCACTATAAAACAATTAAACTCCGGAATTCAGTTATTACAATTGTTTTGTTTTCGTATCGGGAATAAATAATATTTTAAATATCATATTGTAATCTATCAAAATATGGAATTTCGAATTACAATACTTTAGAGTTATTAATATCAGTTTAAATTCCCTTATCACCATTATTACGCACTTAAATATGTTTAAACATTTTTCAACTTTTAAATTTATGAGGTTTAACTGAATATTGTTTAAAACATATTAACATATTAATAACCATACTATACCAAATAATAAAAAAAAAAAATGTATAAAATATTATTAAATCATTTTGTTTTATTTATAAAGAAACGGTTTAAACTTAGTGCAGAACAACTGTTTAACACATAAGTATGTATTAAAAATGTTTAGTATTAATGTTCCTACTTGTTTTAAATAGTTTGTGCATTTTATACTGGAATGTACTTGCTGCAAGACTGAGAGTTCTACTAATTTCAAGTCAAATCCGGTACCGAGTTACTACCTGAGAGTTCTGTGGCAAATGAAATTACTTTTTCGCATAAATACAGTTTTTAAAATAGAACTACAATTTTCATTGCTTTTTCACTGAGTTAAGGGTATTCAATTTTAACGAGGAGCCAAAAATGTTATTAAGAATGAGTGTAATTTAACTTTGTGAGTGCAATCAGATGATATATCAATGAGACTTATTTCTTTTTGATTTACATTTAAATTGTTATTTCCAAATATTTGCTGCGAATGGATCTATTATGCATCCACAAATTGCCATAACTAGGATCTTCTTGTATTGTGAACTTTATGTCAGAATAAGACTTTATGTATAGGTTATTATGTCCTTAAATGGATATTGGCCATATTTAGTTCATTTAACAGTGAAAAAAATCTGCCAGACATGCAAGCTTGGTTACCCGCATATCGTCGCATTAGAATTCTTAAAATTCCAAACTACTTTGCTGGTGGAAAAATGATTTAACTAAAAGAGTAAGTATTATTCCCATTAACAGCCATTTTACCTAACGTAAAAAAAGGCGTATATTGTGTATACTGGGAACTCATTTATTAACAAAACGCCTCAAATAATCGTTATAATAATAAGTTTTTTTTTTTTTTTTGAAAAACGTACAATTTCAAATAAGGTAAATATTTTTCTGCGGACAACCAAAATGTCCTCATATACCATTGGTTGATGACCGCTGTTGTTGATTTGGTACATGGTCCAAATTTCAAATCAAAATCACAATTTTTTTAGTGAATTTTATAGCTTCTTATACCATAATAGCTTTCCCGTTTCGCCCCATGTTCTTCTTGTTACTTTCTTGTAATACGAGTATAAATATACATAATATAGTAGTATTACACCGTGGGCACACACATTAGATTAAAGTTTTACGGGTACTTCCCGTCTTTTAATTACTATGAATTTTACTGTCTACGGCCGCATAATAACGTTTGCTTTACGAGTGTATTAATTAATATAATATACGCGGTCTCATTGTTTCACGTACGATTGTGCAAAATATTTGTGTTCGCTGCGATAAAACCATCGCACTCGTACTTGAGTATAATATATAGCTTCCTGACTTTATGGTATCTTCGAACCTGTAATATAATTGCAAACGGCAATAACTAAGCCCACCGGTGTTCTAAACATAAAGCTTCCGACAGGGCTCAAGTGCGGGGTTTATAGGGTAAAAACGATCCTACGCCCTTTAGGTATTCCTATATTATCAAGACCCATAATGTTTGGCAGTTTTCCAAAAAAAGTTTTCCATTACACTCTCCCGTTTTACTATACGTCTGCAGCACCTATTTCCCCCCCCCCATTTTATTACTATAAATATTATTTCATAATCTTCTTCTTATTTGTATTCAATTCTGTGATTGGTTCGTAGAAATTCTCCATTATTCCCTGTTACTGGCCTCCGTCTTTGTTTATTTAACAATGCAGACTGCAAAAGAAAAAAAACGAACACGTGAAATCAATCAACCGTCGATCTACATAGTACATTACATTTCCATTAAATAATATAATATTATAATCTGTAAAATAGACTCTTCCCGTATTCGCTAATAGAATATAACCATCATGCCGATAATACAACTCGGTTTATTCTTGACGTGAATGACGCGAACAAGATTAAATTCATATCCATAAATCCATAATAATATTATAGCCTTGCGATTTCTTAGCTTTTCATAATATTCGTATCTTCTATTCACTATTCATCGATTCCTGTTAAATTTGTTTTCGCTTTAATCGAAAAGATTTTTAATTCTCCGTGTTACATGTGCCTTCATGTCATTTAATAAAATCCGTAAAAATAAATATGTAACATTATCAGTTAAAATAATTTTATTTGTATTTTTTATTATTAAAACAATTATATCTATAGTTTTTACAAAAATAATATTCGCCAGTTCCGTTTATTAGCTAGTTTCATTTTTTATTGGCATTAAGTATGTGTTCAATTTTTCATTAAATATCTACTATCTGAAATATCTGAAAAATATTTAATCAGCAACCCACAACCGACAAAGGAAATATTGAATTTTTTTTTTTTTTTTCCTGCATTTCCTACCGTTCTTTTAAAACTGAAAACTGTATAAATAATGATGTTCGGTGTACTTCTATTATTGTTATTTTTTTTTTGTTATAACTCTACAATGTAATCAACACGTGAGTGTTGGACTTGCAAATGATTGATGACGCTTAAATTCCTCGGTATTTTAATAAGTCCATTACGAAATAATTACAAGGACAAAATATCGATTAATAAAAAATATAAGAAAATATACACGCACGCAAGTTTATGTGTACGTGATATTATAACTCGCGTGGAAAAGCACGGTTTTAACCGAGAAACAACAAAAACCGGATAAAAATCCGGCCTGACAAACGCCCGAATTCTTTTTCCGCCGCGCTTTTCGGCAACGGCGCGTAGTCGCGCGACTGGACGACAGACCCGCGCACCGACCCGGCGTCCGGTCACTAGAAAATGCGGGCGCGCGCGCGTATTTTGTCGCGCAAACTGATCGACCGTAACGGATCTATCGGCCCGGTTATAAAACGACGGTCCCGCCGGTGGTCGTTGGCGCTGCACCGGGACCCTGACGGATAACCGTCAAGGGCCATGCGGCGTACGCGAGGTCGGCCGCGGCTGCGGCGAATACGTCCCGCGGCGTTACGCGCCAATGGGAACCAGCGGAGAACGCTGGCCCGTAACACATTTGTGGAAAATCACGTTCGCGAGACGTTTTCGTTCGCCGCGAAATCAATATTTCGTTTTATTTCGGTACCAACGGGCGCGCCGCGCGGTGGTTCGCGTGTATAAATAATAACGGCGACGGCCGATGGTGCGCGGTATCGACCGTACGCACAGTGTCGTAAGGCCAATTCGAGTTTACGCGCGCGCACGGGCTCCGCGTGTGCAAACAGTTCCCGGTGTTTCTGCGCGTTTCGCGTTTTCAAACGCGAATACGCGATCGCTGCGCGGAAACGCGCCGAGCCAACGACTTTACCGCGTTGAATTCGAATTTCGTAAACGGCGTACGACAGTGTCGACTGTTGGGAACGGCGGCCGACGCGGCGCGGACGCTGCGCGGTTTCGTCGTTTGCGCGTACATAGCGCGCGTTCAATCGGCTAACAACGGTGCACGGCGTTCGCTGTGTTCGGCGTTGCACGCACTCGGGAAACGTTTCCCGAAACGATTGGAAACCGGTTGGTTTCCGAACGGTCGACTAAACGGCGATAGTCGTGCGTCGTCGGCCAAGTAGCCGATGGCCGTTTCGTGATTTATTTTTAAAAAAAAAAAATAATAAAAAAAATACATATAATATTACGTTTTGGTTTTCGACGAAAGTGGCGCCCGTTAAACGTTGTTGTGAAACGCGGCGTTCGCGAACTGTTTACGACAAATCAAATACGTCCGTCCGTTTAAAACTTTCAACGTTCAGCGGACTGTATTTTGAACGGACGCTAAAATAACGCGCGCATAATTTAATAATGCGTTTCTATATTTTGGTTTTCATCGAACTCGGCAAATTAAGTTTGCCACCTGTGTAAAACGTTATGCGGCTCTAAACGATAAGACTTATGATAATGTCCCGGTACGAATTGTATTATTTTACGAATGTCGTAAAATGTTTGCGCAACGGTGATTCCGTTTCAAGTTTACGGTTAATACTTCGATGTCGACGAATTGAAACTCGGAGTTTATTAATTATATTTGTATTCTGGTTGGCAGGGACTGTGTGTATATAGAAAGGCTGTTTTGCCCGTTTTGCCCTAAAATTTCATTTTACCCAAAAGTTTTCGAACGATAACAATGTCCGTCGGACTTCGGACAAGTCGTATAATAGGAACACGTCATAACCACAATATTTTGTACCGCAAAGGTATAAATGAATACTTCAAAACCGTAATATCGTGCTGCTGGTTTTCGTTCATTTTTTTTTCGCAGTTTTCACGTTTTATTGTTGTATACGGTTCGTTCGTCGTCATATTATAACGATGTTCGTAATGCACGGATCGCTACGAATTGACTTGCGGCGATATAAAACCTCTATACCTTGCTTTCAATTCGTAATTCGTATACTATCAGCTCTGCGTATTTGAATTTCTGACACGAAATTGTTAAAACGGTCGAAAAATACAGAGTGCGTCGAGGACGGCAACAATGAATGACTGTACGAGGGCCTTTGGAGGCGAACAAACTCAGCGCGTCTTCAATGATATTCTACCGCGAAAAAATTGCGGAGTAAATTTTTTCAGAGCTCTATCGATCCCCGAGTATCATATCAAACAATCATTCGCCACTCGAAGCTTGACCCAGCTTGATTTTTTTTTTTTTTATTAACGCCGCTGTCATGATTTAAAAGTCAAAAGTTTCGTTTCCGTCTACGGTCAACGCATCAAATAATATATTTTTTAATTAGTATTCCGCTGTGATATTCAATTCGATCGAGTTATACGCTAGAAGGGTTCAAATTAATTGTGTAGAAAAACAAAACAACAACATTTCACTCGCGTAAAAAAACACTGAAAGTTCAGAAAAAAAGATAATATTTTATGATTATATGCGTACTCGTAAAAAAACACACAAATTTCACTGTAGGTAAATACACAATTATTATGGTACAGTATCGAAGTATACTATAGACGTCTGAACTGAATTGGAATTATTATTATTATTATTATTATTTATTTTTTTTTTTCCTTATTTGAACAGTGTTTCGAATAACACGCTGTGCTTACATTAAATATGTAGGCAGCGATAAACGTAAATCGCTAAAAGAAAACAAAAAAAAATCGCCGACCGGAGAAATCGGACGCGTAGTATGGCAATATTTTCAGACCGGACAAAAAGGCCGGACGCACGGGCGCACGATTTTTCAGCGATCCCCATTGTAGGTTAGTCGATGGTATTGAAACCGCGGCAATCCCCTCGACTCTAATATATACACAGTCCATCCAAAATTAATGAGATTGCGAAAAAGGTTTTTTTTTTTTTTTTTGTTTGCCCTTTGGTGACCGAGGATTTCTTTATGTGTCCCCGAGCAAGGGATAATACTTCCGCCGGGAAATAATAATGATTTTTGCGCGTAAGTAACATAATACGTTTCAAAATACATATACCTACACGATTTCAAATTCGGAAAATGACCTGTGTTAAAAACGGCAAAACCAACGTGTGGTCGTGCAGTTTTGTAGACGCAAAACCATTCGGAAAAATAATACTACACAATTTTTTTTTATGTAGAATAAGTTCTATAATTTTATATCCGTGGAACATTTCAGTTATCGAAAAACCTCTATATTTTTTTAGCTGTTGTACACTATCTATCGAAAAAAAAAAAAACTATACGAAACCCTAACTAATTTTTGACAAAATTTTGAGTGTAGCAAAAATATGATATTGAAAATTGAAAACTCCAAAAGAAGCACGATTAACACTAACGAAATCATGCATTCACAACATTTTATCGCCCCGGCTTCATTTGAAAATTCCGCAGGAGTGTACGAAGCTAAAAAGACACCGTTCACTCGCAACAAATACGCACGTAAAATTATTATTGAAACACAACGAAACTCTTACGAATTAAATCTGCCAACAAAACAACACCGATTCCCGGGTTTTGAGCTCATTTGTTATATAAAATAATCGTTTTATTTTTGTGCGAAGCGGCGGGAGAGTCGACGATTCACGTGCGTAACGATGACGTATTCGCGTATCTACGTCACGGGTCTCATCGGCGACGACCCGGTAGCTCGGGGCAACGGCGCCGGCGGCGGACATCAGATCAATTTTCTGGCCGCGCCGATTACGAAACCGTATTTTACCTGTGCCCCCGCCGCCGTCGCCGCCGCCGCCGCCGCCGCGCCGACGACGACGGCGGCGCGAACGCGTCAGAACTGGGGAAAATCAAGACTCGGAATGTTCCCGATAATTTGAACAATCAAACCTCTGTGTTTCCCGGGCAAGCCACCCCAGGCGTGGTTTGTCCGTAACGATAAACCGAAAAATATTTACGACCGGAATACGACGTTTCGCGCACAAGTAGGGATAGGCCGGTTCTTCGGTTCCGTCGTTCCTGATATTATGACCTATCAATTATCGGTTTTAGCGTGATTTTCGATTCCGGTTATTTTTTTTGTTTTTTTTTTTTTTCTTAGTAAATATCGGTGTTTACGGAACGACGCATTGTTTGCACGTTTTCTCGGAACCGGCCCGCGGTAATAGGCACAACACCGTCGGGTTTTCCATTTCGAACAAGAATGCGAATCGAGTTTCGTCCCGGGAAACGTGTACGTTACGTCACGTAATATCACGAATACGTTTTTCGAATGCGAGTGGGTTTCTGTTGGTCGACGGAAAACGGGATAAATATTTCGACCCGCCGCGGCGCGGACAAACGCGCGACTCGCGTCCGTGGTGCAATAAATAATTATGATCGCGGCGGACGAAACCGGCGGTGCGGCCGGTGCCGCCGGTCGTCGTTGAAGCCGGACGCGAAGCGCTACGCCGGTGTCCGTCGGATTTTCGCACTCGGGGCGCCAAGTATCGCCATCGAATATTCGTACGCCGTTTTCGGATACGGCGACAGGACGTCCGTTCCTCTCGTGGCCACCGGCCGCCCGCGAACCGCGCTGCACCGACACTGTCACAACGTCATCCGAATCGCCGCGCCGAGACCGGGGGGACGGGGGGACGGGGACGCGCGCAAAACTTTCGGAAACTTTCGGTCTCCGGACGGCGCTGCAAAAGACGTCCGCGCGCAGTACGTCGCGACGGCGCTTACGATGCGTGCGCTGTAGTTTACATCTGCGCTAGAATTAGAATTCCGAAACGCGACCGTTGGTTTTGACGAATCGTTTTTTCCGGGCCGACAATCCGCCGTACGCCTTTAACCCGAACCGATTTTAATCGTTTTATCGCCGTCCGTGCGCGTTTTCATTGTCCGTGTGTGTTCACACCGCTTGTGACGACACCGCGAACGAAATCTCGAAATACATTTTTGGCGTACGTTAAAATCTCAATATCCGTGTTCGCACGTACAGTACCGTTTAATCGAATAACGCAACGGACCCTTTTAATATTCAAACGCGATTTCACCCTCATCGTGTCCCAACATTGTGCACTGGGAAATTTGCCGCGTGGGCGGCGCTCTGACATTTTCACTCGCGGAAATAAATTATAAACGCCGGTTGTGTTTTACATTTTCTTTCATCGTGAATAATTCGCAATTTCTCGCCCCCTCCGGACGTAACAGCGTACGGGAGTGAGTATGCGGCGTTCGGTTTCCGCTCGTTTTTACCGCGTGCTATCGAGCGTACGGCAAACGCCCGAACGAGGTGCTTTAAAATATATTATTAACCTGGAGCTCTCTCCCACGGCCAGTGATTCGTGACCTTTGTGAATCCGCCCGCTCCCCAATACGGTACGGTGAATGACGGTGATGACTATTGTATTACACAATTGTTTATTACGCAACGTGGCTGCGAACGTTTCAGGTATCAACAGTAGTAGCATTACAATCACTCCGGGGTACCCCAATAAACTTACGTTCGGGTATTCGAACAATTGTGAAATATCTGTCGCCGCCGACGCGAAGTAATCTTTTGCCGGTAGACTTATCGTTTCGGGAAAATTTCCACTTTGCGGTTGCACACGGATGAGATGAAAACGACGAAAAAAAAAAAAAAAGCACCGTCGGTTATTCTGCGGGTATTTATAATTTTGCGCGGAATATGAAACCTGTAATGGCATTATGGCCGATTCAATAACGTTTTTGTTCGTTTTCATTGGCGTGCTCGTGGCGAAACATCACAATCGATATTATCATCATCGTCATCGGGTGTAATGTTATTATTGTTCATATTGCGGAACGTGTCCCGCAACAACAACAATAGCGATTATAGCGGAGACTATAATATTATATGGTCTTCGCCGTTGTTATTTGTTCCGGATATTCCGGACCGCAATCCGGATTAACCGTTCCGGGATTACGGTGGCGAACGGAGATTAAACGGGACGAAAATAAAACTTTACAAATAGTTGCGCGGTGGAGAAAAAATATAACGTGATGCGAAACCGTTAGGCGGCTACTCGGCTTGCTCACACGTGTTATTGTAGCGGTGGCAAATGCGGACGGAGGTGCGTGACGTACGATCAACGAGGGCCGAGACGACGCTTCTGTTTTTCGAAAACATTTCTGTTCAGTTTCACGGCGCGTTGATGTTCGTATCCCCACGTGTTTAACATCTATGCATGATAACGACTGTAGGTACCCGTAAATCGGAACCACGGCTTTAGAATATAGGACGGCAACAAAATAAATAAATACTGGCGGACAACTCCTTCTTAAAATTAGTATTCTGCTTAATTGGGCAAATAATAAATATGTTTAAAATGCGGTCCATAAAAAACTGAACACTGCTAGTAATGTGTAAATGTATGTGTGTGTGTGTGTGTGTGTGTGTGTGTACTGAGTATGCGCATCTCCTCTTTACCCGATTCATACCGTCTTAGTCGGCCGCTTCTTTTATTAGGTCACATTCTTTTACGCCGTTCGTTTTCATTTTCAATGTTATCACGTAGGCATCCAGTAAGTATAAATAAGATTATTATCGATAAGATTATCGGCCAATAAGATGTGCTTCAGGAGAACTATATAATGGTACATAGTGTGTAGTCATTAGCGTCATTTGAGGGGTTCGGACCATACTCTGATTGCCCTACGTTTGTAGGGGAAAAATTGGCTCGATTAAAATGCTTGTATCCCTATTGAAAAACCGAAATGGCGCTTCCGAATATTATAGCCCGGGTTCATTTAACCGGTGAGCGGAGACGAAGGAAAACTAGAGAACTGCAGCTGATAACGTATACGGAGAGACGAATGTTTAGAGATCATCGAAAACGAAAGGCTCCGATAAGCTCAGACGAGCATAGAGAAGCCAAATTACTACGAGCAATGTTTGAACAGAATTATTATTAGAGAAAATACTTTTAGGATGGCCGACGATGTGGTGAGAACACACAGTAAAAAACCACGTGAAAGCTGTGGGATTGCAATATGATACGGGACGAGTGTATAGAAATCGAATCAACCTCCAAATGTATAATAATAATCTGGGTGAAGTAATAATATTCAAGCTAGACGGTACCGAAACGTGAATATCCGTATCGTTATTAATTAGTTAATGTTAATGGCATAATAATAATATTGTATTATAATTAAGTAGCTAGGCCTAATATAGGTATAGGCTATATAAGAAGGCCTTTGGGATCGGATTATAGCGGTATCATACCTATATCATAATTTATTTTTTTATTTATTTATTTAATATATGGTTGCTGCGGATGCCTTCATAATGGTATTACATATTTATATATATATATATAGGTACGACGAAGACGATATGATCATCTTACCCCGACCGTGAAATTGATTTCGTCGTCCGGGCCGGGTACTATTCTGAGGCCTAGAGGAAAATAATATTTAGTACGCGTTTGAACCACGTCGGCGCAACGGGCCCGGAGACCCGGTTGCGTGCTCGCCGAAAGTTGCAGGCTGTCATTATATGTATTGTTTTATTTCGTTCTTTACCCTTTTCATACGCACTATCTCTCTCTCTTATTCCCCGTTCGGACAAGACAAACTGCGGCAGTCAAATGTAGTATACCAACTAGTTCAGAAAATAATATATAAGTTTCGGTCTACGGGCGACGGCGACGTGCCGCGGCCGCTGAATGCCGACACGACCGCTGTCGCTTTTCACACGAGTGCATCCGCGAATTCGAATGATGTTTTATCCCGACACACAAATCACGAACCGCGCAAAGTGTCCTTTGCAGAAGACTGAGTTCTGAATAAACACGTAGTAATCCTCTCTCTCTTTATCTCTCACTCTCTCTCTCTCTCTCTCTCTCTCTCTCTCTCTCTCCCTCTGTCTTTCTCGAAAGCAATTCGAGGACCGATCGTTTTTATAGATATTTTCCCGGCCTAGAGCCGAATTTCTACACCACACTCTTTTGCGAATACAACCGGAAATATATTATTGTAATGTACGAATATGCAGTGGCACAACTAGAATTTATTTTCTGGGGGGAGGGGGGGGGGGGTTAGAAAATGTAAACACATTTTTATACAGGTCTTTGGGATAGTAAATACTAAATGTAGGCGAAGTATATATTACGACGGCGTAGACGTGTTCAAAATTACAATAATTTCTGTATAATATTACATATTTTCCACTATTAAAAAATGAAAATGTTCAGTCAATTACAGCGAGAGAAACATTTTTCAATCTGATCTATGTGACCATGCCTATTCACATTCGCGAGAGCCCCGCTAAAATATACACACGCAGACCCGACGAGAGGGGAGGGCAGCCAGGGCTGTTGCCTTAAAAGGGCCCGGGCCCGATCAAAGCAACCAGATCCTACATTAATATAAAAATTATATGTAGTTTAATTTCATAATATTTTACTTTAAAAGATCAATACATATCTTTTATTAAAAATCAAATTTTTGTACCATATTATACATACATTAGTAACAATATGATTTTTGCTTTTGAATACCTTGTGCCTCAACCCGAAACCTTCTTTTTACTAAACACATATTTTAAAAAACGACGCTTGATGTTAGTGGCAAATTTAATATTTGACAATGGGAGGGATTATTAGTTTGTTTTTGGGGCCCTTTATTTCACTCCGCGGCCCTTTACACACGATACGAAATCACTTTTATAATTATTATTTAGTTTAAACATCACGTTAAACAGCAGCGCGACGACATTAATGTAAAACAAACGACAGGTCATTGTGTGACGGGCATAGGTATTGTGATACATTTCGTTTAATATATTATTCAACGAGTCTATAAAATAAAATCATCGCTGGTAGGTAGCTGCAGGTACCTAAACCCATCGTGCGCGTTACCGGCTGATAGCAGAATAAATTCACAACGTAATATTGCTATATCAATCATAAAACCTTTCGAAAATCCTTACACGATTAGTCCTAAGCCCGTTATTTTATCATATTATGAATTACGATGGATTCACAAAAAATACATTCCGATAAATAATAAAATACGAAAATAACGATAACCAGCTGTACGTTATTTTATTATTATGCAAAAAATCGTTGTTTGTTCGAAATGAGCCGCGTATTATGCAAATACTCGAAAGGTTTCACACGTTCACACAATCAAATATTATCTAATAATAATATTATATAGCAGAGATAATCAAATAGTCCGTTTAATTTGATAGTAATTTTCCGTTTGTTTCGGTTTCAGGTGTTCATCGAGATGGCTAATTTCAAGGAGTGGTCGTCGATTTTGATGATTTATCTGTTTGCGCACGTCGCTCAATATTGTTGGTAAGTATAATAATAATAATAATATCAAATATTATGTTATATACTACCGAAAAATTACGAAATCTGTTATAAATAAATTATGTTAATTATAATACGTATTGGTATTTACCAATATTATTTAGAAATTATTATGATTATAATTTGTTGTACGGTCGGCGTGTCCTACGATCATAATGAAATCTAAGTATTTGGCAAAAAAATATATTATAATGTTACCTTAAATCGTGTCGGTGACAATTCACATTTTTTTTTCTTTTTCGAGAGCGATTTTTAATAACTGGGTGTATTATAATATTGACAGGTACCACATACAAACTCGAAATGTATTTAATATTTATATTATATTAAATTACATTCATTATTTAGTATTTACTATACCAGCTTTTATAATATACAAATTCATAACATGCAGTTAAAGAAAAATACATTTTGTTTAATAGCACAAACATAGCAAACAATGAATGCGCTTATTCTTCAAAAAATGGTAAACACAACAGCAGATGTCAACCAAAAGTCAACTATAGGCATAAAGAAAAAGAGGTTCTAGATCAAATCCTAGGCCCGGGAAGCTACGACGCTAGGATCCGTCCATCGGGAGTGAATGGCACAGGTAAAAATTTGATTCGAAATTATTATTATCTTCTTAATATTAGAATAACATAACAGAATTATCGTTAAAATGTTTTATCCGATGCTCACGACCAAAATAATAATTTTTGTTAATTTGTTTGATACTTACCTAAATATTATTATTATTATTAAAATACACGTAGGTAATATACGCCCGAAATAATGAATTTATTTTACGCAGAAACGAATTCATCAATATAAATTACAAAATGTGAAACGCGTTCAAAATCATAATCTCAATAATATTTTGTAATACATATACACAAAAGGGCGAGTAAAAAGCCGGGGAGAATTGATTTTATCGAGTGGGTTCATCATCGTAATACAAAAGCGCAACTTATTATAATATTTTTCACCGGTTTTATTATTATTATACTCTATGTACATGTTTTTTTCCTCGCCCTTTATTATTATTATTTTTTTTTAAATACTCTCACGTTCAAAAGTACTTTAGGCTTTTCGCCAAATTGAAAAAGTCTACGAGTACCTACTCGTGCACAGTGCCAAATTCTCTATGTGTTATATTATTATAATGTCTGTATAATACTTATACGTATATTATATTAAATCGGAGAGAAGGGATGATTTTACTTTTAACAAAAAGAAAAAAAAAACAAAAACAAAACAAAATGGTCACTCTCGCTCGCGTTTTTCGCTATAATACTGTATTATCGTCTGCACGGGGTCTCCGGCTACTCTCGGATAATACGCATAATATTATTTTAAACAAAACATAAAATCAATAGTTTAGTTTATAATAACATAAATCGACAATTATTACCCCTACTCGAGTAGTTCGTTAATTTTTCACCGAAATAAAAATATAATCTACAATATTAGCATAACGAAAATATTATAGCACATTCACACTAAATTGTTACACATTTTCGTTCACCTGTACCCATATATTATACCTTTGTGATAATAATTCCTAGATGGCCCGGTTATTGTTTTTATAAATATATTGCTACGAAACATCACAAATATTTCTGACAAAAATATGGTAAGTCGAATCGGTTAAGCACATTGGTTCACCATAATATAATATTCAATATTATTATTGTTATTATTATTATTATTATTATTATTATTATTACATTATTTTCTATATTCGAACGAGAAACATCACTATTACAATCATATTTATATTTTTTAGTTTTTTTTTTTTTTTTTTATTACGATAATATGGTTTACTAAATATTTTATGCACCCTTATAACCGCACTATATGCAGCTATTATGCATACTATACCTACCATTATTATATACGACTCTTATTATTATTGGGTTACGTGTTCTTACGAAGCACTTTGTTTTATTGTTTAAACATATATATGTATACATAATAATATATACATTGTATTTATATATATATATATATGTATGTATATTATAGCTATCGATTTAATTCTCAAAAACATCTTGTTAAACAAACGTATTTATTTTTTTTTTTTCTAAGCTGCGTGGTTGAGCATCGCTACACTTTATTTTATTTATTTATTTATTATTTTTTATTTTTTATAAGTTATATACGAATTTCAATACACATTTTGATTATTACGTATTTCTTTTTTTTTAGATTTTTTTTTCCTTTTTCATATATATATATATAAACATATAAAATCCGTTCGATTCTATTTCGACAAAAAACAATATACGTTTATCGCGGATTTACAAGCGTCTTATACGCGATTTATACGACGGATTTTTCAATATTCTACGCGTTGGCGATCATAAATAATTATTGTATTAATAATATTGTCGTTTTAACACAGATGACTCGTACAGAGTTATTTCGAACACAATCCATTGATATTGTAGGTACCTATATAGACATTTGTATATGTTAATAAAAAAGAAAACAAAATCCACCAAGCAGTGACTACTAATACCATATTTTGTAAAAAGAATATTATCGGTAAATTCATAATACTATTTAATGTAGTACCTACTGCATTACTATACATGTTGTAACTACCAAGGACGGGATACTGTGTAGGATTTGTACTTATTTTTAAAGTGTAAACGTTTCTTCGGTATTTATATCAGAGTCCATTTTTATTAAAATTTATATTAATTCAATTTAATTCTGAATTTCGAGCGATATCTGTTTTGTTACCGTGAAATTCTTTAACCATTGAAACGTAAAACTCTATTATATTGTTTTCTACGTGATAAGTTTTCACTCAAAAGAGGATACATATTATATTTTAATCAAACTGTAATATATTAAAAATAAGGATTTTTTTTTTACGAGTTTCAAACTGTCTGTTCAAAGACGCTCAATATGATTTTTTTTTTTTTTATGGTATATTTAAACATTATATTTTATTATTGAAAATGTGCTTAATGCGAGAATTTGATGAAAAAAAAAACAAAATTCTATTGCCTTTGTGTCGATTGAAACAATATACAATATCTATATTATTATCTTAAGCCTCCATATTAAGCAAATCAAAAAAATTATAACACACAATTATTGTATTTTGAACAATAACAAATTATATTATACAATATATATTTAAAATATTTTATAACTCCCTAGATGGCCCAACAATCGTGCACATAAACCTATTTGTGAGAAGTATCATGACAATAAGTGACAACAAGATGGTAAGTCATCTTGTCTAGGTTGGATGCTGGTATTTTGAGCGAAAAAAAACGCAATTTTTTGTTGTTTTATATATTTATTTTTAGAGAAACAAATATTTTATTCTATATAATATATACATAATATGTGTTATTTATTAACGTAAACGATACCGATAATATATTATATTGTTAATTTGTAGATGGTCCCGTCCGCTATATATTTATTATGTTATTATATTTACAATATTTTTTCCTAAATCTTTCACCTGCTCTTGATGACCGTTTTATTTTGCATTCATAGCAGTTTTTATTTTTTATTTTTTGTACATTACATGGAATGATTGTGTATAAAAAAAAATAAACAATTATATGTATATATATAAATATATATATACATAATACATATTATGCAATATAATATAAATATATTACATAAAAAAAAAAAAAAGAGTATAAAAAAAATATACATCTCTCGTAAAAGCGCAAAATATAATAATAATAAAATACACACACACATACACAGTTTTTCAGAGTCCACGTTAATTTAAATAGCTTTTTTCCGGCTGGGTGTGTTTACTATTATAATATTATTGCAATTATTATTACTATTATTATGTATAATTTATATTAAAAAAAGACATAGCCGTTTTATTATAATATCGCTAAATTAATCATTTTATTAATATTATTATTGTACTACATTACGCTTGTTGACTTAATCGACGGAAATCACACGACTCATTCACAAACACACACACACACACACACACACACACACACATATACACATATTTTAAATAAGTACACAATTATTTTATTATATTCATAATATTATATCGGGTCGTTTTATTAGATAGGCGCTATAGAATATTATATTATATTTTTGTATTAGTAACGCTATATAATATTTGTAAGCCATAGCGTTGAAGTACTTACACTATATAATAAAATATATTGTTTCAGGATTGACAGTACATAATAATATTTTATTAATTACATTTATTACACTATACTCTTTTTTTTTACACCACAGATAAATCTATAATATTATAATTTATGATATCTTAAACGAGTCTTCGTAATAATGGCCAAGTCAAAAATCGCCAGAGGAAAATATGGAGGCAAAATAAAATATGGCCAGATGAAAATATGGCCAAATCGAAATTGACTATAGAAAAGCTATGGACACAATTTTTCCATTTTTTGTCATTTTTCGTCATTTTTTCTCTAGCCATTTTTTCCATTGCCCTTATAATCATCGGCTCTTTTTGATTCGGACGTTATTACCAACTACTATCTAAAACAGGCGGCTAGGTTTGGTAAATTCTTTAAAAACATGTTCGTAATTTAATATTGATAGATTTTAATTTTATTCGTTACGATTGTTAAATCTAAAATGAAATTTGTATTATATACTCGGCACGCGTTAAGAGTGTGACCGGTCGCGCAGGCAAATCAACTTCCTCCACCGGCATTATAGTCAGCCGTTCCCACTATTTTATATGTAGTGCAACACACGTTAAGTGATTTTGGTCGCGTAATACAGTGTATATTGTTCATATTTAGAAATATGCTGTACAGCGGTAATCAAATACTCGGAGTACCAATCAGCGGATTTGTGGGCGCAACTTTAAGGGCTTTTTCTGTGTACCACGTTCTCATTGGTCAAGTTCAGATTTCCGCGTTTCTGATTGGCCGATTAAAACAACCCGCCTTAATTTTGAATTTTATCTTGTTATTATTATATAAGTAGTAAAATAAAATTGCTAGGGGACTTCGGCCACCTAATGGCCACATTAAGCTACTGAACCAGATATTGTAAGTTACAATAATTAGTTTACCGATTTAGTTAGACATTAATTTAAAATAGTGAAGGTTCTTTCAAACGTGCATATACAGCGTATATGACCAATACGGTTGTGTGATATAGAGCAGGAGTTCCGTGATGTCCTGCCATCCTAGGTTTCCTATCACGCCAACCGATCATACTCTTAACGTATGCCGAGTATAGGTACTTATTTTATTTAATAATATAATAACAATATTATACATATATCGGTATCAAAAACACTACCTAGGTACCTTTTTATAGTTATTTTCACTTACCACACGTAGACAATATTTACCCGAATAATAAAAAAAACCGACAATAATAATATGAACCTAAGTTAATAATTTACATTTTTTATTTACTTATAAACGATTATATAGTTAAACATTTTATAATAATTTTCTTTATATACGCTGTAACTATCAAGTACTATTATAAACAATTTATCATAATTTAATAATTCTACAAGAAAAAAAAAACCCACGAATGAAGAAACAAAATAATAGTATTACGTGTCGCAAATAGTATGTCAAGACATTAGATGTAATTAATGTTTTTTTTATTTACCCTTTTACCTACCTACCATGCAAACTCGATAAACGTTTAAAGTTATGTATTATTTAAAATTTCTAAAAGTAACTTTTTAATTTAATTATACCCCCGTTTAAGCCATTATTTAAGCGGCTTTCTAGTTAGCTGTCGAGTAATAATTATTTTATAAATCATTTTTTTTTTTTATAAAATGTCGAATTGTGACGAAAATACTTTATTAGACTTTTTTTTTTTTACTGAGTTGTCAAGAATGCCCTCCTTCAATCAAGGACACTTTTGTTCAGTTACTAATTTTAGTACCTAAACTCAAGGATATTTCACTTTATTTGTTATAACGTTATCTAAATGAGCTTTACACATATACAACTTTATACTAATTTAACAATATTATAATTTTTAAATTTTATTCAGATTTCACTAAATATAGTTAAATATTTTATAGTAAAAACATTTGCTAAAAAAATTAACTTTACCTATTGTATCTTCTAATAATTTATTATCTAAAAAATAAATCACAACACGAAGTTTTATGATTTTATCTGCTTCGATTTTAGATTTTAGATTTTAACCGATCTAACTATACCTATAATACCGATTTTATCCTATTAATTAAATTTGTCTTTTCATCAAATTTACAAATTTGGATTCCCAGATTAGGATTTAATTTTTACAATAACGTTTTATTTAAAAACTGAATTTAAAATGTCATTAAATATAATAGTACAAGTGAGTGAACCTAATAAGGTTTTGAAAACGGTAGGTAGGTAATTGAAATCGTAGTTTTCTATAGACTCACTGTATTTTCAATATAAATGCAAATGTGCACTGCAGTTAAAACCAAGTTCCACTTCCGTTTCTGTTTCGCATTAATTCTGGAATGTTGAATAAAAACGATTTTATTTTATTTCACATACATTCTATTATCAATTTTAAAAAGTAGGCATCTAATGCGGTCAACCTTTTTTTCTCTAAACTTTAATAATGCGGATTATATAGGCAACTCATTTAGTTAAAAAATAAAAAGTTATTAATATATAATTCACACGTACCGTCATTAACATATTTAATTATATTTATTGCATAAAACAATATTTAAGATTAAACTATTTTTTTTAATATTATTTCTTCTTTTATAACCTAATATTTTATGTATTTATAATTTTTTTTTTTTAAATCAAAATTGTAATCAATTTTACTTAATTATAATAATATTATTCAACGGAAAAATAAATTGATGATTATTTTTGTTACGGCCCTAATAAAATATTGCTTATAGTTATTTGTAGATATTTTATACTTATTTGTAATATAATATTATGACAAGACATACATACTATATTATACTGTACCGAATGCAGTATGAAAAATTAGTAACTCCCTTTATAAAAATTCAAAAAACCTAATTCCTCACTGCAAGGTCACTTTAATTTATACGCAAACAATTTGCCATGATAGTTATGTACATGCATCTTATTGTACGTCCATCGCACAACCTGTAAAATTCGAATCCCTTAAGACATTAATATAAATGTAATAATATTTTATTAAATACCTATAGTGAATGGCCTCTAACGAATAGCACTAGAATTTAAAAAAATATATATATATATTAAATATTATACATAGAACTTTTCCCGCCATATTATATTTTAGGTAACTATTGAGTTTATTTTTGATTTTAATTTATTTGGATATTATTTTCCTTTAAAAACAATATAATATGTTATGTAGTATGCTGATTTGTTTTTTCTAACCGCTGACATTATTTTGTCGGTATTTATTGTATCCCGCAGGCGAAGCTCCCTGCATTGTGTTTGTCAACATGTTGGTACGGTCCATCAGCAGAATTGACGATTACAAAATGGTGAGTCGGGTGATGGCCTTAAATAATTTTTGTTGGATTTATTATAATGTTTTATAAAATATATATTATTATTTGGTTTTCTGTTGTGAGATTGCGCCCAGTTTATTTGCGGATTTTATGTTTGTTTTCATGCCCGTAGGAAAAAAAAATGTCTTGACCAACAGCATCACTATACCTAAATTACACATACGTAATCTTAATTCAATTAGGTCCAGGGGTTTACTGCTGCTCGTCTGATACATGTTGATCAAATTCGAGCTCTGGTTAATCAATCCACTTGACCGATATATTAATATACAGTATATGAGGTATAACTCATATACCTGTTTAATTCAAAATGAAAGCTTTCTATTGAAATTTTATTTCTGTTGGACAAGATGAACCGAAATTCTATACGAAATATATATTTTTCTTTATAAAAGTTTGATTTTCGTTACTACTCTGAACTCGTTACTTACTTGTTTTCATTTTTATTATTATTATCATTTATTTATATTTTTTTATTAAATGCATTGAAATGGTGTGTGTATTTAGGCAATTTTGTGTCTTGTAAATAAATACATACAATCATACATTTACACATAATACATAATAAATATATATATATATATAGATAAAAAGAGAAAAAGAGTGGGTGGGCTAGAGCTAGAATATTAGTCTGATACAAATGAAGAATAAATACCAGAGGTTATTCCCGTTTTCCCAGATAACTTTAACAAGTAACCATAACGATATGTTAATTTGCGTGTACATATATAAATATAACTTCTCGGCAATGTTGTTAATTGGGCAAAAACGATAACGAATATTAGTCCGAAGATGAATGCAAAGAGTGAGCGGTTTGGAAGTTTGACCCCCGAGAAAATTATTGAATCAGTTATTCTTAAAATTTTCAAAAGCAGAATTAATAAAAATATAATAAATAATTGTTAACAACTAATATTAATTATTATTTTTTTCATCATACCTTCCCCGAAATTTGTCTATGTCCGCTATTACAATGGCGAGACAATGATGATAAGATAATCCAAACAATAAGTAAAGTAATTATATTATTTTGATTATCTTATTACATCTTTGATTACGAATCTCGAAAGCTGTCCAGAAAGCAAACCGACAATATTACTTATTGCATATTAGTTTCACCAACATCGGCTTCCCGTTATGTTTACTTTATTATTATGTGTTACCCGTAGTATTCCTATAAGTTAGTAGAAAGGTGAAGTAGGTTTTTTTTCCCCGGGGACTCACTTCTGGTTTAGTAAACTTGCGGTACCAAGAAAAATCCATTTTACGTGCCACTAAATTATAATAATAATACTTTTTAATAAAATACTTTAATTTTTATGCATCATATCTATATAAGTGGCTTTCTTTTTCTTTTTTTTTGAAAATATTATCAAACAAAAAATTATTTATGCTATTTTTTTACAAAACCTAAAGTATTCTTTTATTTGACAGTATTTTTAAAAAAAATAAACCCTAAAAAATATTATCCTATTTAAACTTTGTGTTGTCATCCATGTTTAAACTTTAATTTTAACGTAAACTACACGATTTAAATCATATTCTAAATAAAGTAATTTTAGCTTTTATATTATGTTGCCTACTATAGTTAAGCCAAAACAGTTGATGCTTTTTTTTTGGAGGAGGAGTTATTAATTTCAAACAAATTTCTAAGCACGTATTAGATTAACAAATCTCAAACATCGGGGGAGGGAGAAGTTAACCCTTCCTTGGGTTTACCTCTACTAATATAATATATTACATTATAAACCTGGTTTATAAAATAAAATACAAATTTTAGGAGGGCCCAGTCAGTGTTGCGCAAAGATAACTAAAAATTTATCTAAATAAAGATAAAAGATAATTAGATAAAATTTACCTAGATAGGGATAAAAGATAAAACACTATTTATCTAGATAAAAAAAGATAAAATTGTTTTAATTGTATTAATTAATCTACAAATTTTTTTTCAATTTATACTAGATTCTACAATCTACAATTTCTATTAGAATTTAGGAATAACATAAACAAGCGACCCGGATAATATTATTACCTATTACTTTATATTTTTAATTTTGTTCTCTATTTGTACGAGGTTGGTTTACCAATGAGATGTGAGTTTTAATTTTCAAGTTCAATTTTTGATTTCTCGTATAGATGTATATATTTATTTATCTAAATAAATTACGTTAGATAACTCTATTATTCATCTAAAATAATTTATCTGATAACTATTTTTTTTTTTTTTTACTTTCTAGGCAAGATAAAAGATAATTAATTATTTAGCCAGATAATTTATTTAGATAGTGCTCAACACTGGGCTCATTTCCCATAACTCTATCAATCTCCGCTTAAGATCTTTTTATAAGTATGTATATAAAATAGATGTTTTGAGGCCCGAATATAAGGAGTGAAATCTGTGGTCAATTTCGCTCGGTCTTAACACTATACTTGTAATAATGTGTATTATCAACATTGCCGCCCGACGTATTGCTACGCCAATTTTATGAAAACTGCTTTAAACTTTAATACTATTGAATAGATGCCAACGTTTTCAATCATTATCCGGCAATAATATAATTAGGTAGGTATATATAATAACATATGCCCCCACTGTATTAAAACATGTTATAAATATATTATATGTATGTATGTATGTATGTATGTATAAAAATATATATATATATATATATTTATATTTATTTAATTATATTATACGATATCATGCTAAGTAATTTTACTTTTATGAAAATCCATTAAGTTCAAAACCATTTGTGTAGAAATGAAATTTGTGTGCACCTTTATTTTTATTTTTTATTTATTTATTTTTTTTAAGTTAAATTTATTAGGGCACTTTCAAAGTGATATTTGTTTAAAAAAAAAAAAAAAAAAAAAAAAAAAAACAAAGTTTTCCATATATATTTTAAATATAATATGCCGTAACTTTATTCTATGCGAAAAACAAAAGATAACATGCGTTTTACAATGGAATATCATCGTTGTTATAAAAAAAAAAAAAAACGAAAAAAAAACCGTTTAAAGTTATTTATTTCGTTGTTAAAAATATTTCACTAACTCGTTCCAAAACTTTGTTTCGGTTTATAATATTATTTAGTATATGTGACAAGTCGGTTTCTCTGTTTTAAGTGTAATATTTTTTTGTTTCCACAAACTCTATAGCTGTTATAATATTCGTGACCGCATTTACATTAATATTCATAATAGTTAAAGACAAATTCACACCAACAACCAATATAATAAACGTACCTGCTATAATAACAAGAGAAATATACACGTATATTAAAAAGAAAGAAAAAATCATTCCTCGCTTTCAGAAAAATTTTGCTGGGTTTCGTATAGAAAAAAAAATCATTACTTAACTAGGTACCCATTCTCTGGTGTGTGTCAGATGTTTCGGCTATTCATACGGAAACAGACAAAAAAAAGTCCATATATAAATGCTTTTGTTGGTTTTATTGAAATGCATTTATTTTTTTTTATTATTATATCAATATATTATGACTGTCACCTGCCTCACTGTTTTTTAATCTGTAATTCTCTGCGCCTCGGATGTGTATCTATGACGATAATAAATAATATTATTGTCCGACAACTTATTTTATTTTGCATGCTTTTTGTACGATCCGCTATTACAATGTATATTTTATTTGCACGTCTATTATTATACATTACTATTATGTTGTTTTACGCTTCAATATCTCCACGCATCATTTAAACGCTCGTTTCCACCATGATTTTATTATTATTATTATTAAAATGCTTTTTGCCGTTGCAAATTGGTTTTCGACGGCCAGAGGCCAATAATATTATTGCATTTTTGAATGAATTTTGGTTACACGCATGCTACTTTGTGATTTGTTTAATGTATATAAGTAATATATATTATGTTATTAATTTAAAAAAAAAAGAAAATCACGCGCCTCCCGGGCGAAACTATACACGGCGGCGGACAAACGCGTTTTGTAATATTATTCGCCCGGGATTCGCTCAGAGACGATGATAGACACCAACCGCGATGATTAAATCGGTGCACGTTTTCGTGTTTACGGGGCCGGGGGACCGGTGTAAAAAGTCGTTCCTGACGTCTAATATATGAAAAATATGTAAATTCAAAAAAAAAAAAAGTTTTAATTATAATAATAGATGGTGTCCACCTATATAATATTATATTACATTTTTACTCGACACGCAGTCCGAAATATTCGCAAAACGTTTCAGGCATAGGCAGTGGCGTGCTCAGCAATGTTCAACGGGACAGGATACAGAAAAAATAATGATTGTGAATAAATCGTAAGAATCTTCTTTACCCAACTGCAGGCAAATCAAAAGCCAATTTTCCTTGGCCAAAATACGTACATTATACATTTCAAGATTAAATTACTAAATAAATAAATATAATTGCTATAACTTTAAGCCAATGGGGAGGAGAAAGAATATAACTCACAACCTTCCTGCTATTGTGCACGCCACTGGGCAAAAGTATACTACAATAGCATTGTTTTTCCGTTAGATTTTATTATTTTACCGCGTTTTTAAAACGAAAGTACAATAATGTAGTTCCTGCCTCCTATCTGTTCGATATTATATAATAAATATATATATAACCACTCTCGGAATACACTTTATTCTTTTAATAATACAGAATGATCCATTTACCATGAATCGGCGATTTTCTCGAGGGACGTTAAGCGAATTTAATTTCTGGTCATTATATGGATCAGTTTAAGCTTTATTTTAACGCTATTTTAAATCACCCCTACTCGTCACACCTAAAATACATGTTCAATTTTTACATTTTCAAATAGAAACCTCTCTACTTTTGAAACACAGATTTGAATAGAAAATATTGTGTTGTACATTTCGGTATGCATTCCACTAGTATCGGATTTACCATTTATAACAATTTAAAATTTAGACTGGGTGAATAAAAAGAGGTATAATAACCTAACCTGGTAATAGATAATGACGATTAAATGTACCGTTTAAACTAGTTCGTATTATCAATTTTCAGATGATAAATTTGTTACCCTTCCTTACTCCTCTGATTTAAACTTTAAACTGTTATAAATTTAAAAAAATTATTTCTATTTTCAAAATTGAGGATTGCTATTTTACGATCTTAAATATATAATATACTCATTTAAGAGAGTAGGATTGAAAAATTGAAAATAGAATCAAAATAAAGCTCGAACGATTCCAAAATGATTGAAAAAAAAAACAGATGTCAAATTCACTTCAAATTCTCCAAAGTGACTGCTGGTTTATGATAAATGAATCATTCTGTGTACCAGTGTTATGTGTACGTCTATACGTTATCGTCCCGTGAATGCGCTATAAAGTGCACGAAACATTGTTGTCAGACGTGTGCGAATATTTTACACCCTCGTAACCCCGGCCTCGAATGTGTTGTTGTCGCCTCACATGAATAAAAAAAAAAAAAATTTTTTATTATATAATATTTCTAAACGTGTGTTTTGTGTGTTAGGAATACAGTGTGCAACTGACATTTCGTGAACAATGGATGGACGAGAGACTCAAATTCAACGATTACAACGGTAAATACAATAATAATAATAATGGAAATCACTAGAAAAACGATGCCCACCGCTAAAAGCGAACCCGTTGAAATAGATACTTGTATACAGTTGTGTCTGTTCTCGTGCAGTCCGACACACTAATGGTTAATGGTTTATAAAGGTCACCACACAATACAGGGTGTGCCACGAAGATTCGAAGAATTAATAATTTTTTATGTAATAATTAAGTACCTACTAATACCTCGTGCTATAATTCTTTCTATTTTTTTTACATTAGCCTAGAGAGCCATTTTAGAAATATTATTTTGAAATAAAATGTTGGTGTTCTAAATACTTACTAATAATGAATTGTTAAGTTTTTAGAGTTTTTTTAAGTTTACAAAAATTATTTTTTATAAAAAATTCGTGAATCGATTGATATTATTTAATAGCAGTTATGAAAACAATTTGAATTATCTTAAAAGTCAATAAATAATATCAATCGATTTACTAATTTGTTCACCGAAAACAATTTTGTTCGTGAAACTTTTAAACTTCAAAAGATTGTAAAAACTTAACGATTCTAGCTGGTAGTACGATAGTAAACATCTGAAAAACAAGTATTTTGTTTCAAAATATATTTATAAACGGATATTGGATATTGTCATCCTAGACTTTTTTAAAAATTTTTTAGAAATTTCAGATTCTGAATGTAGCGAAGAATGTATTGGTTTTACTAATATGTTTATTTTTTTATACTGTGTACAAAAATTCTACCAGAAATCTTGCTCAGATATTTATGCACGGCATCATTTCTGAAAAAAAATATTGTCCAGATGGTATTTTCAAGTGGTCATTTTTTTAGTTTTCCATGTGGTTTTCATAATATCAGGGAAAAACCAGGATAAAACGTAAAAAATACGGGAAATTCTCAAAAATAATGGTTTTATTATTTTTCAATTTTTCAATTATTTGTTGTAATTCAGTTAAAAATACTTGTAAAGACTTGAAATTTGAACAGAAATATTTTTATAAATTTATATTTGCTTTTTCTAGACGTGGTAAATTTTCAAATAATTTAAGCCATTTTTGAGCTATTTATAGACATTTTAATTTTGTGAATTTTGTACGTAATTTTTCTTCGGTACGTACTCTTTGGTAAAATTGTTAGACTTAACAAAAATGCTTGAAAATTTAACAAGAGTTCATTAAGAGTCGTACTTTGTGGTGAAAAAAAAAATCAAGTTTAATGTACTATTTTTTTTTATAAGGGAATTTTAATATCAGATTTTAACGAAAATTGTTTGAGTAAAAAATTATATGGAACAAATCTAATTTTTCAATTATTTTTTTTTGAACATATGCATATTGCCGATTTAAGAACGATGGTGAAGTCAGAATTGAGCGGATTAAGTTTCGAAATTATTGCTTTTTAATGTTCTGATATTTGCGATTATTATGTTAAATAACTAAATATTGTCTTCTCTAAAGTTTGTTTGTCGTAGTTAAATAACTATTTTCATCTTAGGGTTCGCGAGTTCGAACTCGTGTTTCAAATAAAAATTATTTGTATTTTTTTCTCTTCTACCTAAACGGGTAAAAACCAAATGCATTTTGGGTATACGTAGGACCTAAGCCATCTCTTGCTCGGATTATTTTAATCGAAAAATACCCCTCGATTTGTTGTACAAACTTTTCTACCAAACATCTTGCTCCGATTTATTAAGTGTGGCTTATTTTCTGAAAGGAAATTTTATCACCATGGTAACTTGAGGAGGTCATTTTTTGTTTATCCCAGGAGTTTTTCCAATAAATGAGAAAAAACCGGAAGAAAACGTGGGAAAACCGTGAAAAACGCAAGAGAAATGGGAAAATCGGTAGAATATTAAACACATATTATTAAAGAAAATGTATAATGCCTATTTAATTATTTTACTACAATATGACACATATATGTTGACAAAGCATCACTATAAACTGAACTACGCTCAGAATCATTTTTTCATTAGTAATAGTTTATCGTTACTTACAGATGTACATTAAATTACTTATAACAGTGGCTGCACCCGACCCCATTATCCAAGGACGTCTTTTTTATATTTAGTTTGAAAAAATGTAAAATAATGAAAGTATAGCGCAAGACTTTGGTTATAAATTTAAAAAAAAAAAAATATTGAACAGAACAAAAGTTATTGCATTTGTTAAATCTTCGTGGGACATTTCTTTATAATGATTTATAACATAGTCAAATACGTAACGATTCGCTAACATTTATTGTGCAATAGTTATTTACGATTCTACGGATATTTGTTAGGCAATGACGTAATTTAAATATTCAATAGACTGATATATTAATTATCTATTGTATTTTAAAACTTAAAAAACCATGAAAAATGGCCGGAAGATTGGATAATTGAAAATTTGACAACGTGGAGTACTTATCTGTGTGAGGGCATACAAATAATACCTATAAATACATTTTGAGATATTTTGAAATTTTTTCTCAGACTCGAGAATATAATATCAATGTCAAAAATATCGAACCTTACCTTGGGTTAAGATAAGAGTAAAAATTTAACCAGGCTAAATGTCCAAAATTAAACGCCCCACACCTCCAAATTACACTAATGTTGGCTTTTTGACATTCCGAAATCAATTTTTCTTCAATTATATCCACTTCGATTCATATAGATGAATAATGTTATAACTTATAATACGCGTCCTGGAAATGAAAACAATGACACCTTTATTATTGTATCAATTTGTTTTTATAGACTTCTCCATGACACGCGTAACATCTAAAAAACACGAAATAATTATGTTATTTTTTTTTTGCAATGTATGATAAATTAAAACACTAGACTTCATAATATACTACAAATTTTGAATGTCAATACAATCCAATTTTGTTTCCGTGTTTGGTTAGGTAAAATGAAATACCTAACTCTGACCGAAGCCAACCGAGTGTGGATGCCCGACTTGTTTTTCTCTAACGAGAAGGAAGGCCATTTTCATAACATAATCATGCCAAACGTTTACATCAGAATATTCCCCAACGGATTAGTACTGTACAGTATAAGGTTAGAATGCCGATGGCGCCGAATGAAAACAAAACCGTAATACAATGTAACGTGATTTTATTATTTATTCAGGATATCTCTCACCCTGTCGTGTCCGATGAATCTCAAATTATACCCGCTGGATCGTCAGACGTGTTCACTCCGAATGGTCAGCTGTAAGTCTCAACTAATAATAATACAAATATAATTCAGTTGTCTTCTTGTGTTTCAACAAATAAATCACACGTGCTTTGAATATTGTTTGTCCATCATACATAGACGGTTGGACGACTGACGATTTAGTATTCTTATGGAAAGAAGGCGATCCCGTTCAAGTGGTGAAAAATTTGCACTTGCCCAGATTTACTTTAGAAAAATTTCTCACGGATTACTGTAACAGTAAAACTAACACAGGTACGTCGTATAAAGCGTTCAAATAAATAATAAGCATACAATTTTTTAATTTTACAGTAATCGGAAGTTAACTAAATTCATATAATAATGCGTTAGGTTATAGAATAACGTTTGTATTCTATTTTGATAAATAAAAAAAAAAATAACATTAACCCTTAACCAGTATTCATTATAATATACAAATATGCTACGTATAGATTATATACATTTAAAAAGTATACAACGTTCAAGAAGTATATACGGGCACTTAGTTGAAGTACAACGACAACATGTTATTATTATGCCAGGGAAAAATGTGTTTCTAATATTTTTATTTTTATTTGTTGCTATTATTTATGTACCTACGTTATCTGACAGGTTTGAATTTACATATTATATTGTGTATCTCGTCTATGTCAGCGATACAAAACATGATAAAATATTATTGTATAATTTCCATTACATCAAAAAACTCGATTGGTTTTTTTTTTTTTTTCGGAGTATAATATTGCGTAAACACCACTACATTTAATTATCATGTCTGCCTCTCCTGCGCACAACATTACATACAATCTGAACAGTTTAAAATAATTGAGGTTATTTTTAAAAAATACCTAATTTTGTTCCATTTAGGGCAATAATTCGTAACACATACAACTATAAATAATTGAATACGACTTAAGGTATAGCTTCGCGCAGTACAAACGCGTGTAGCCTCATTAATATCCAACGGTTAATCGTTGATTAATAGTTTCGAGTATAACACCACAACTGTAAAATATAGTATGCAAATACGAGGAAATTGAATGAGTAATTTGATTTGGAAAAATGATAGAGAATAGATTAATACGGTGTGGGCATGTTGAAAGAAGAAGAAATAGTGATTGGTTAGATAAATATACGGTAATAAAGATGAGTGAGATGAAATTTATGGATGGAACCTATTGGAAACTAAGAAATATGTGCAAGCTAAAACAGGGTGACTAGAGATTATCCGAGAAGATTTGTGTGAAGTATAGTACATACATTATGAGGTAGAGACATGGACATTGTTTAAAGTGGAAAGAAAAAAGATCAAAACATTAAAAACAAATGGCGCTGAAGAAGAATGCAGCAAATGCTTTGGACAAAAAAAGTTCAAAATAAAATGAATGAATGAACGGGCAATAAGAATGAATGAACGAAAATTAATATTGAAACCAATCAAGGAAAAAAGAAAAAAGTGAATTGGACACATAATGATAAACAATGAATAACGACAATAATGGAAGAAAAGTTAGTGGGAAAAGATGGAAGAGGTATAGATCAAGAACTCTAATTATAAAATAAATTGTTCAAGGCTTAGGAAAAATCACTTATAAAGAACTGAAAGTAGCTGTGGTGGATATGGACGAGTGGAGGTCTGTCCAGTTCACTAAACGAATCTGAGAATTTAAAAAAAAATAAAATAAAATAATCCAGGACAGGTTCAATTAAGTTATAGTATATGCAATTTAATTGTATTTAAGATTTGTATTTAAATATGTACGATTTTGCGTACCCATCATTATAATATAATTTTCCACCTTATACAAGATTACTAAATTAAGGCTTACGAACTAAATTTCTCAAACATATTTTTTCTTTCTTTTTTTCCATATTTATGTTAAATTATTTAATATCGACGAGAAACGCAAATTTTCGATGGTATTTTATATTTGACTGATAAACTGTTCGATCAGATATTTCGATCACTTTTTTCCACTTGCACACTAGGCCACACAATTTTCATGACCAGGTCGCCCAATACAAAGTGTACGGTATACCGTGTACCTTGTATCGGTATACCATTGTAATACCAACGAAAAAATAATAACCAATGTAACATTATTCTGGCAATGTTCCCGCAGGAGAGTACAGTTGTCTGAAAGTGGATTTGCTGTTCAAACGAGAGTTCAGTTACTATCTGATCCAGATCTACATTCCGTGTTGCATGCTGGTCATCGTGTCATGGGTGTCGTTCTGGCTGGACCAGAGCGCGGTGCCGGCGCGCGTGTCGCTGGGCGTCACCACGCTGCTGACGATGGCCACGCAGACGTCCGGTATCAACGCGTCCCTGCCACCCGTCTCCTACACCAAAGCCATCGACGTGTGGACGGGAGTATGCCTGACGTTCGTGTTTGGGGCCCTGCTTGAGTTCGCCCTGGTCAACTACGCGGCCCGTTCGGACAGCCATCGCGACGAAATGAGCAAAAAGTGTGATTTGGAGCGCACTGTATCGTTGGACGTGGGCGACTACGAGGACAATCCGAATAATACATTCAATATGGTGAGATCGAATAGTACGGTGAGCATTGACCGAGCGCGGAGAACTGGCGGGTTCGAAGCGCTTCATTTACTTTCCAGCTTTTTAACTTTTAATTTTTTTTTTTTTTTTTTGATTTTATTATTTTATAATTATTATTTTTTTATTAAGTACGTAAAAACAAAACAAAACAAAACAAAAAAAAAGCAACAAAATCACGATAAAACGATATTATTATTGCATTTGATATAACAATAGAAAATAACACATTTCTACATTTTAATTATATCGAACTAATATTAGGTAGGTTTATTACCTTGTTTTTTTTTTTTTTTTTAATATTAAATTATCGACCGATTTTATTGTAATATTTTGCCAAGGACTAGTAACTACTTAGTTTATAATTATTTCGTTAGTCCAAGATTATAATAATAATAAAAGCATTCAAACGTTATAGTACGGTGCACTACACATCAGGGATGAATTGGCTCCCTCCCCCCCCCCTCATGTCTCATTCACTCTTCAATTTCCTCTTAGTCCCGTTATTATCTTAGTTTGATTCATTATCGAGCTCGTCATCAGTGTGCGCCTTATATAAATTATTAAAATCGCCTCCCCCGGTATCTTAATTGTACTGGATCCATCCTCGCTACACAGTCGCCAATAGTATTGTTATTTATGATGCATTTTCTCCCGTTATCGTTCCTAACTTTATTCGATATTATTAAGAATACGCACCAAAAAGTCGAGATGAAAGTCGATTCTTGTTGTCGAGAATTTCTCAAAACCCTCCGATCCGTGTATGTGACAAAATACAAATACCTTAAATACATTGTTCCTCCCCCGCGGACAAAACACACCTGCATAATACGGTACACCGAATAGACCAATTATACTAAAATGTACGATAAAACTGTTTTCGAAACAAAATAAAAATCAGAGAATCGAATTCTCTTCGGTTATTATTAAATTAATCATTATGAATGTTATAAAAATGCAGTAAGAGATAAACAAATAATTATATAGCTGATTTGCAGTGATTATAACGTGTATATATCTATAACTTATATGTAACGTATCGAATTCAAAATTATAGTAGAAAGAACGGTAATTTTCTGATGTACAATTTTTTATCTATACACATGTATACAATAATTTCCATAAAAAAAAAAAAACAAAAAATAGATCAAACACTAGTGTAATGCTCGAGCACATATTATTATATTTTATTATACTGTTGTAATAATTGTTTTTGTCTTATTTTGCTGATTGGTCCAACCTATTAATAAACATAGAAACAATCAGTGCAATTTTGTGAAATATAGGCATAACTACTACTACTAATATATAATGTATGTATGCTCTTGGTTATGTTAGTTCGAGTTTAGAATATTTTTATTGATATATTGTAGTGCAGCATGCACATATAAATTTATATGATTTAATTTTTATGTCCTGAATCGAAATTCACCACGTTATATCATTATGATTTATATATTGCCCTGAATATTTGCCAGTTTATTTTGTTTGCATTTACTATGGTATATCGCGTCGTACTTGCAAAATTTTAATTTTTTTTTTTTTTTTCATATATATATATATTTTATTTTTACAAAATATAATTTAATTTAAATATTTATTCATTTTTTCGTTTATTTACAAACGAATTTTATTTATTATTTATTATTGTTATTATTTATCAAATGAAAAGCTGGGAATCAATGTTTGCATTATCCGCATGATGGTCTGCATCCTTTATAAGTTAAAACAGTTTCTATATTATGTCACCTATACGCCTCCTCGCGAAAATAATATGTTATCAATAATAACTGTTATTGAAATATAGTTCTGCGTTTTTTTTTTTTTATTATTAGGGGCCTGGTACCAACGCTTTTTTCCTCAAAAACGTGATGTCTTACGGGAAAAATTCTCAAAAAATGTTAACATTTATTTTTTTAATTGAAAAGAGGAAGACTACCTACAGTCCACGTAGGACTGTATTTCTATATTTCAATCTCAAACTTTATAATGTCATTTATTATTTTTTTTAAATTTTAAAAAATCGGAAAAAATGTGAAAAACCGGCATCGGGCCCTTTAATATAATATTATTAAAAAACGATGCAGTATAACCTACATATTTAGCTTATCGATGTAATTATTTTACAAAAAGGAAAATTAAAATTTAACCGTTTTGATCGTCTCGTTACAATATTCCACGTTAACTATTATTAAAAAAATTAATAATAATCCTTTTTGCTTTTTTCAATTGCGAGGAGCGCGAGTATTGCCCACGAAAACAATCTGGTTAATGCGAAAGCTTGACACTAGCCCGATTGTTTTTTTTTTGCCAATCGTACCTATAATATATTATTATAATATTATAGTTGACGAAAAGTGCATATTATAAAATATTTACTTACGTTTTCAATACCTATGTACCTGTAATATAATATTTTGTTGTTTTCCTTTAAAACGCGACCAACCACCGCCCTTTATTCAATGGCGGATCAAAAGACAAGTGCCATCCTTAATTTTATCAATAACTATGCCTATTTTATTTTCTGTGCGTTGCGATGAATGCAATTTTCACGTTAAATCGGATAATACAACCTGCAGAATCAAAATCGTGCATTTACTTTTTGAGTTGTTAACGATAAACCAATAAATGCGTAGTCAAAAACCACACATTTCGTAAAAAAAAAAAAAATGAAAATTACACTTTAGCCCCCTAGCCCCCTAAAAATCCGCCTATGATAAGTGCTCTGACCGTAAATGGCTTGTCGGATCCGCCCTTGTCCATATTCACGGCGGTGATGCGTCCGCGATGGACCTCGCGATACTTTAATCCGCACCGTGTTTCCAGAAGCCGTTGATGCGTCCCGAGTTGATGATGTCTAGGGACAAAATGAGCCAGATCATCCATCAAACGCCTCCGATGGAGAAGACTTCGTGCTGGAAATCGTGGATGTCCAAGTTCCCGTCCAGGTCCAAGCGCATCGACGTCATATCCCGCATACTGTTCCCGATGGTGTTCGCCATGTTCAACATGTCCTACTGGTCCACGTACCTGTTCCGCGAAGGCGAGGACGAAGACAAGTAATCCCGCATTCGACCGCGGCCGGACTTCAGTTTCATAAAAATAATAATAATATTTTAGCGTCTCGTACATTATTGACCCTTGTGATAACGCGCATATATATTTATATGTATATATTTTTTTTCACTATTATTATTCTTTTATTGCGTCTCATATTATTATCGGTTTGTTTATTCTTTCAGCCGTCGGTTTTTGTTTTGTGTTCCTTTACATACACAACTCTTTACGTATATTATAGGTAGGTATGGGTAGGTAACAGTCTCTCGTAACACGTCTTTTCCCGTCGCAGAGTGCATTTGTATAATATTATTCACCGTCGTCGAAAATTATTATTTTCTTAACACTTACGTCTATGGGTATGATATTATATTAATAAAATACACCGGATCTCTTGAACATTTTAAAATACACAAACGTATTCACATTATGTCCATTCCATATTAATAACACAATTATTAATCTTACTATCTTTGATATTTTGTAATTTTTTCTATACTCTATAATATGCTCAATTTTACCTTTAAATAAAAAAAAAAAAAAAAACAAACAAACAAACAAACCTACCTGCAACTGTTTGATCCATTTCGAAACTCCTGACAGACAAAAGAGACAGGGTCCTTTTACACGAAATCTGTCGGGCTGGCGATTCGCAGGTTTGCGTGTCTCCGCGAAGAAGTGCACGCGAATCGATTCCATCCAAATTTTATTTATCGTGATTGAACAAGAACAGTTTTCTATATATATAATAGGAGTGTCACACCTTTCTTTTTTTATATATCTAATAATACATGCCTAATAGAAATCAACAGTACATTATATTTAGAAATTATTTCCTATCAACAAAGATTTATAATAATTTAATCGAGTTAAAATTACGCGCGCTCAAAATCGTTTTTCTTTTCGTTTTTCTTTTACACCTACACATAATGTATTATATGTATACATTGATAATTATTATCGTAAAACGAAATATAGATAAGTTATAGAGCGTGGAAATCATATAAACTCCGTTTTTCTATTATAAAATACTATTCGTACGCACATAATTATTATAATGCATCTCATTAATCCATTTTTGTTTTTAACTTAAGCACGATATAAAAAAAAAAAAAAAAAAAAAAAAAAACCAAATATATATATATATTATTATAATGTTATATTATCACGTCAATGCAAATATTGTATTGTTTAGACATTTTCTATAGTATAGTAAATTAGTTTAATCGACGATACGACCTACGGTTAATTGCGATCCGAGCCTTCTTTTCCATAATATGCGCGGTCGCGAAAATTGAATTTCGTTTAAACGCGTAACGAATGCGTACTGTTGCACCCTTCAATCCGACCCGTACTGCAGTATTATTCGCCACTGTGACAAACAGGGCGTGACAAAGTGAAAATTTCCGATCGAAACGGTTCGACTACAACAAAATTGAGTTTTCGATATTGTGACGCCGTTTATGAATATTTCGTTGTTTGTATAACATATAATATTATGAGCTTATCGATTAATCGTTCGGACTTGAGACAACGAACTACGATACACGTAGTGATACCCATTCAAACATTATACGTTCGAGTTGATTCGGAATTATTATCGTCTCGCACATTCGTTAAGCGCTAGGTATCTCTCTTTTTTTCTTCGACGGACAATATTGACCGGGAGAGAGGTGGGAGGAGGTCAAACGTTAAAATTTAATGCAAATATCACACTGGCAAAAAACTAATAATAATATAAAATTTATTATTGACAAAATTGTAGAAATAACGGCCGTTTCGTAATAATATAGTATTCTAGTCAGTTTTCGTACAGCGGCTGCAGCTGCAATTTAATATAACGATTCACGAGTCTACGAGATTTGACGCTATTTAAATCCACTTTGTTCAAAATTATTTACGTCCCCGTTTGTACGTCCGGTTACATTAAAACTTTCACGACCCCCGATTAAATATAAGTAATCCTAATACATTAATGTCGTATTATTGTATAAAAAGCGACGATTCGATTGTTCCGTTAATGCGTAGAGGTAGACTGTCGAGAAAAAAATGGTAATCCCCGACAGATTCGAATTCGGAGGCGATATAGATGATATTTTATTATATAAGTGATAGTAATATTTTAATTTTAAGATGTATAATATTATATTATTATAATTTTAATTATTATTTACGATAAAATAATCTAATTGTTAATTATAATTCTTTATGTTTGTTGTATAACGAAACATTAATATTATTACGCTGTACTATCGTTGTATTGTATACCTATACTGTAAATATTTCATAAATTTTATGTGTTGGCGATGGGGCAGAAATTAACAAAGCCGGGGGAAGGTTCGGGGGTTCAACCACTCCTCCCACTATCGTTCAAAATCGTTTTATAATTTCCGAGATAATGTTGCTAATTACGTTTGTGACGAAAAATAACAGAAGATTTAATTTATCCCCTTCCCCCCTCCCATCCTCGAATATTTGGTCCGGCTACGGCCTTGGATATACAGGTACTTAAAAATAATAATATGAGGTATGCGATTTGTTTTTTTAAATATAATATCATAGCGTGCGTGTTCGGTTCACGAGATTAGTTTGTAGGTATTGAGGTATATATTTACTTATGTGCAGTTAGACTCAATTATCTATTATAATGTTATTAGTTTTGTAAAAAAATATCGCACACGTCGGGTGTGACGCTGACGATTTAACGGGACCCTCCACCGCGTTCCGTTTGCATTTATTATTATTAATTGAGTGGTTTATTTACTGGCGAGCGCCAGCATACGTCTATAAATATTTTGAATAATAATTATGAAGTAACGTTTGATTTATTCGCGGGGAAAACAACACAAATAAACGCGCGGAAATTCGATACCGCGGTTTAATGTTTACTCGGATTTTTGTTTTCGCGCAAAAATATAATCAAATAGATTTCAAAAAGGTGTTAAATAGCTACGTACCCGTAGTGAATATAAATAACGTCTACTTCCGGTGGAAAATATATATTCGACGGTAATTATTTCTCTCCGGCGTAACGGGCAATTTTTCAAGCAGAATAATTATTATTTTATTATAAATATCGTACTCGGACGTTGAAATAAAAAAGAAAAACACGAAGCGTGATAATTATGACCAGTTTATATAGCATTGCCGAACGAAAAAACAAATAGCCGACAGCTATTTTCGCACGATGTAAATTAATTGGTACAATACAATATATGCACGTTAACGGTGGCGGATTTACGGGGGGGGGAGTAGAGTGATAATAGGGGCGGGGGAGTAGAGTGATAATAGGGGCGGGGGAATTCAGGGGGTCTGGAAACTCTTCTCTCTCTCAGACACCGGTATAATTTCAATAAAATGTCGTCCAAAAAAAAAAAAAAAGCATCTATTGATATAAAAAATTATCAAAATACATAATATGATTTTTCAGAACTTCTCCCGGGAAAAATGTTAGAAATCCGCCGTTGTGTATTATGGTGTATTACATTATAAAAAAAATGACGTTAAGAAACGATCGGCAGCGATTCTTATTTGGGTAAAACGTCATTCGATTTACAATCGGTACTTATTCGGTACTTGAATATTTCGCGGTATTTAAAATCATGTTACAAACACATATTTTTTTTTAAAATTATTATTAGGTTTTATCGTGTAATATATGACGGTTATTCGATTTCGGTATACAAGAAATCAACGACGCGTTTACATAATACATATATATATATATGTAATAAGTATTAATAATAACAATATTTATATATAATATTGGCTAGAGTAAAAAAATCAAAATCATTTTTTATTATAAAAACGCATTTTTTTACGATTTAGTAATTGGTGCTTTTTATAATCGAATTGATGCGTACAATTATTTTATTATTATTATATTTTTTTTTTTTTTTATTTTTTTTTTCTTAAGTTGTTACTTATAAGTATATATATTTAATATTAATAATATAATAAAATGTAGCACAAAAAATTACGTTGTAATAATATTGTAACGCATAAAAAAAATATCGATGTACCTATTTATAATATTATATTATTATTGTGTTTGTATTTATAACAATTGGCGACGATCGCATAATTGCATTATTATAACAATATAACATTAATATAATATTACCTGTTATTGTCTTCGTCTTGCGAACAATAACAATTATACAAACATTACTTGTAAAAATCAATACCATATTTCAATGTTGTATTGTCTTTACTGTAATATAATAGATATGATAATATACAGGTGATAACGAGTATTGTAATATTTATACGATAATAAAAATAATATTATTATTTGATATCATTATTATAATAATATTATAATATACCCAATGTGTTTAGTGTATAAGGTCGTGTAAGATTTTATCGAATTGCGATTTTTAATATAATATTATTATTATTATAATATATTTATATAGATGTTAAAATGATAAATCTCTTGGAAATATATGTGTAAAAAAAAAAATACCGACGAAAAATAAATAGTAACGATTTATAACTATTATAATATATTGTAATAATTGTCAAACTACCTACTGTACCTATAGTTTTTTTATACTGGGGAGCGCACACAACACGGGAAAATATTTTCCTGATGAAATATGTTTACCCGGATTTCAGTTTCCCGTATAAAATCATTCCGTTGGTTCAAATCTTCTCTGAGAATAATAACATGCTGCAAAAGTAATTTCCCGAAAAATCGTTTTCGAAATTTCATTTTCCCGTCCAATATCCTTTTCACAGAGAATATTTCCCGGGAATTTATTTTTCTATACGATATTTTCCACAATTTACCTTTCCCGAATATCGGTTTCCAACAGTGTAATAATTTTTTAGTAATACACACTTTCCTGTATATTATTGTCCCTGTCGATTTTTATACTTTTCCGATACATGCGAATCTCCCCGTAAACAGAGTAATTCAATTGGAAACACTTATTATGACAAAAAAAATCTCGAAAAAAGTTGATACTTTCCAAGATGAGTAACTCCATATGAGTGAATCACCCTGTATATAGGGACTGTAATTATGTGTATACTTACACTTGCCAGAAAATAATTAAATTTTCAATAATGCATTAATTGTCATATACATATAAGTGATTTTTTTTCATCCTGCGATTTTCTTGGAGGATTGTTTTAAATAATTAAGATTTTTGTTTTTTTTTTTTTTTTGCAATCGTAACAGAATTTGATATGTGTTTTATTTTTAAAATATTTTTTTAAAAGTTTATACCCATACACCTTAAAATAGTATTTACGTAGAACCAAGTTGAAAAAATTGATTTTTGCACAACTATCACATTTACCATTTTCATTGACTCGTTGATAATCCCAGGTGTCTTTTTTTTCTTTTCTTTTTTTTCCTGTAACAACCACTGGCGCAGGTGTTGGTGAGTTACCAACGATGACTGTCTTGATTGGTTATAATAACTTACAACTGCCTAAAAAATTATAGGAAGCAACATTATTAATTGTTCAATTGTACAATACCACGTTTCAGTTTCAGTTATAGAAGATACGATTAGCCAACTTCCCAGTATAAAAAAAAAAAAAAGAAAAAGATTATCATCTATTTTGTTGTCCGGTTTTCGACGCTTCTCATATTAAGTCGCAGTAAAATAATAATTTTTGTTTTTTTTTTTTTTTTGTTCATTATCGTTATCATTTATAACAACCTGTTTCCACTTTTCTCAAGGCATGGACACTAGATAATAATAGTATTTGGCGTATACCCACCATCGAATGTTTAATATATCTACAAGAAATAAGTGGTTATTATAATATTACGAACAGACAAAAGTGGTTACTGCTCGCTAATTAACTATTATACGCTTGTTATTGTGCCCACACGATTACGATTTAATCGGTTTTTGTGCCTAAGGACCAAGGTCACTCTGTGCAGAATTTTGGACGTTTCGACTCAGTATAAAACACATAAATCTTGCAGAAATTTTCGTCAAACCGTCAGTAGCGACTCCGATAACGCGTAGGTATATAAAATAATCTAGTATTTTTTTTTAAACCTATAAAGATAGGTTTACAGGTTTAAAAAAAATAGGTACATTACCTACTGCGAAATCCATAATGAAAAACGTCGTCATATTTTCCGTAAGCATTACATTTTGCTCATATTGTTTTACACAATTTATCTTGCACTTTTCATTAGTCACTCGACCGCTAGGTAGTCGATTAATATTATTATTATTATATTAGGTATATTACCTTATTAGTTTCTAATCTCATTTTTAATATAAATCAATTATTCAGATGCATTGAAAGCCCTTAGAAGATTTATATTAATAATGTTCTTTTAATTTCTTATAATGAAACCTAAGACAAGATGTTGTTACCTACCTTCTGTAATTTTAACTTTAATTTCTATTTGTTTTATATATATATACAATTTATCACAACTATACTTGAGCTGTCATAAGAATGAGGTGTTTTCGTGAAGTTTTTGGTTTTATAGTTTATTTGATTCATCAAATTATTACTAGTCTTAAATGCGATTTTAATACTTCGAATTATCATCAAGACTTTTAGCGAATTTATAAGATAAATTATTTTGATATTTCATATTACAATATTTAAAATTGTTATTAAATGTGTTTTGCTTTATTCTACAACAATTTCAATGGGGTCTATTAGACCCCGCGCGACTAAATAAGAGGTTACCATAGTACCTTCTCACACATGTATATTGCAGAAATAGGACGGCTACAGCATATATTGTTCAAAAAAAATGCCCTAGAAAATTTGAATGTTGCCCTAAAATTTGTTGAAAAAATGTTGTACTAAAATTATAGCATCCTACGCCTTTTTTAATCAATCCGCGCGTGTAAACATGGTCCCAGTAAAACGTATTTGATATTAAATTTCTACGTAATAGCTAGCGACATCTAGATTCATATTTTTTAACTTCACACCAATATCATATCAATAAAATATGAAATGAAATAAACAATAAATGTAATAATATTGTTCGTAAGATGGAACATAACCTTTTACATATTATGCAATGAAGGGATTGTAAAAAAAAGATGAGATTGCGTAGATTTGACTTGTAACAATTTGGAAAAATATATCAGGCTTTAAAAAGTATAACGGTACGGAACAATAATATTATTATACAGACTGGTTTACAAAAAGAAAGAAAATATATTTTAAATGCCTAATTCGAGCTGTTGGCCAAGTAAGTATCTACTTGAAAATGAAAAATGCCTATATCTATTTAAATGTCAGCGTTGTCCCTATTCCATGGGATGCCCAAAACTCAACCATGTAAAAGAACGATAAGCAAAAAAAAATAATAATAATAATAAAGTCAAACAATATTAGAATATATTTACCGCGGTTTTTAATACTAGAGCAAAACCCGTGTGCACAACGCCTATGTCAATAACTATAAGTACATAGAATTCAAAATATATATTTTTTCACGATACTATACCACAGCGAGTTATTATTGTATTATTGTAGTACCTAAGTAACGTTTTTTCCTCATGCAGATTATCGCGTTGCTTGTGCTGCAAGTATGCTACGCCCAACGGGGAGAAGGTGAACAATATTCGCAGTATCCGAGGCCGTCTGGACCGCATCCCGGCGGTGACAGATTCGGCGAAGAACACGGTTGGGTGTATCATCGCAACGAAGGATACTGGTATCATCCGCAGTACACTTGGAGATGGCATCCGAATTATGGATGGAAGGAATACAACGATCGCCGCGAATATTACAATAATTAATCAATAAACCTAATGCATACATTATTTTGTTGAAGAACACATTTTTTTTTTTTTTTAATCACCTGTTATATTTTGTTCCCAAATCGGATTCCTAGCTGTTCACCTCCGACCGGTCTGAGGCGGGTCCACACGGGGCATCTTTTGTGCCGCGCGGCAAAAGATGGACATGTCGAGTCAAGTAACTATTGAATTTTCAAGTAACCGTTGAATGTATCCATCGTAAAATATATGTTAATATCATTATTTTTTTTTTTTTTAATTTAAAAAGTACACAAAGTGTACGCAATATTTAAATATTTGTACTTCAAAGTAATTTTTACGTACATTTTCATGTTGTGTAAAAATCTGTCACGAAGTATCTTCATGCTGATTCGTTTTAACTTATATTTCTATGTGCAAGCATAGAGCGGTAAATTCGCATCGCTTATTTTCGGCCGCGACCAGCGCTCGTGTTGACGGAGATGTTATTGATAAATAATTTAAGATATTCTGATCGCAAAGATAACCTGATAAACCACAATAAACATAAGTATATTTCACAATTTTTTTTTTTTTTTTGGGAGGGAGGTTGATTTTAGGGCTGCGAATTATAAAATATCTAATAATAAAAATCGGTCCGACTTGGCACAATACATTTTCCAAATTTTCCCGTATTTCATAATTTAATTGATCGTCTTTTATTAAGTTATTAATTAGCCGTGTGCCACTTACAACTTTTCGGCTGTTCAAATTTGGAAGAACCTACCTTTTTTTTTTTTTTTTGGAACGCGAATCTTTATGTCGCTTATAAGTAAAGACCGGATTTATATTCTCTTAAAACACCTAAAATATGATGCTGATTTTCACTAAAAACTTTAAAATATTCTTAGTATATTCTCTTACAAGTTTAAAAAACAATCAATGAACATCAAAATATGCTTTAATATGCAATTTTTTTGAATTTTTTTTTTTATAACTTTCCGTAAATAATTAGTGACACTTGCGTATTAAAATAGAATAATAGTGCACTTAAGTAAGAGTAAGAATATAATATAGATATGACTATGTAGGTAATTTAATTTTTAAAAATTTAAAAATCACGTTATATAGTTAGTCACCATGTTTAGTAAACAGTAACTCATAATAGGTAGGTACTATGATCAAAATATCAAAATGATACAAAAAAAAAAAAAATTTTAAATGTTCAAAATATATTTTTCCAGATACCGTATTATTAAAATTAATATTTTTTTCTCACAATTTATAAAACGTTCCAAAATATGCAAAATAAGCTAAATATTCCTTAACCCGTGAAATATTCTCAAATATGTAAAAATAAAAACTTTTTCCTACAAACTCAGAATTGAACGGTTCGTCAACATTTTTTACTCTCACAAGACTGCATGAGCTCAGTAAAGACATGTAAAAACATATAAATCTGGTCTTTACTTAAAAGTATATAACAACGCGAGTGCACGAACTACATCGTCCCCGGTAGATATTTCGAAACAAACTAATGATATTGCTGAGAAAAATCCGCTTGTCGTGCGAATCATGTCGCGCGGCACTAAGTCAAGCGGCTTTGCCTCTCGGCAAAATAATGCCCCGTATGGACCCGCCTTAAAAGGACTAATGGATGTGTCACTATTTTAAGAGACAAATTGTTGAAAGAGAGGATATTTTATAAATATTATACAGTAATTTAAATTATATCTGTACGCATACATTTTTCTATAAACGCGAAGTAAAAAAAAAAAAAAAAAAAAATGAAAACTGAATCATGATTCCTATTATTGATGTTTTAGTAGATTATTTTAATATTTTAACAGTCGAAATATAGTGAAATAAATGAAAAATTTGATTTTTTTTTAAAGCTAGAAGAGATAGATAACATGCACTTAAGAGTTAAAACTATAGAAAAGTTGGTGAGTACATATTATGAAGAAAACCTGGATGCTGATTCCATCGAAGAGCACATTCGGTTTAAAGAAATATTTTCATATATACCAGAAAATATGGTATAATGTTCAGGTATACTAGAGAATCAAAAAAATTCTGTTCATGATGCTATATTGAAAACATTACATAACAAGTTCTCCAGAAATCACTATAATATTTTTCTACTGTAGAATATACATCGTGTCGTAAATGAACACATTACAAAAAATTTCAAAGCCATGATAAATAATAATTTTTAATTACTTAAAGACAATTAATTAAAATTTGTCAGATGTAGAAACACACATCGTCAGTAATCGAAAAACCGCACACACATATTCGTTATCTATTTCTTATCATTTTCATTGGGTAATTATTATGGAGTGGGTCTATGATAAGTGTATAGCAGTGACTAGGCAGTAAAAATAAGATTAAGTAATTTCCTTTTAGAAACATTGCTCTCATTAAAAGTTGGAGCAAAATTGGCGGTAGAAAGTTGTACACAGAAAATCGTAGTATTTTAGTAATATAATTCGTACATATTCCCGTTTTTTTTCTTTCGGTTTTTCGCATTAGAAAGGGAAAACTCTGGAGAAAATCGAAAAATGACCACCCTACAGTACCTCCCCACATCAAATTCCTATCAGAAAAGGTGCTACACTTAAAAATCTGAAAAAGTCTTCTGGTAAAAGTTGCTCACAGATAAAAAAAAATATAACATCTTTGTAAAACATCTTTATAAGCTTCTTCGCTCACTCAGAATCTAAAACGGTTTATATCACTAATAAAATAAACGGTTCTTATCATGAACTCATAAACAGGTCTTGTCTTTTATGAGTACCTGCCTATATGGAATAAACGACACAATGATCTTATTAGAGATGGCTATTTTCAAACATATACCTCGGTTTTAATAATTTATATGTGGACATAATAATATAATATTTTAATCATATTTCAAAATTTTCTCAATTAATAGTAGTCGCCAGTCACAGTTAATAGCAGCAGTTAGCTGCAGTAACAACTGCTAAAAATGAATTATCAATCTAATAAGGTGAGGTAACTGTTTTATTTATTTCGAGTAGGCAGGTACTGATTAGAACCGTTTATTTTATTATATATAAAACGTTTTTTTTAATGTCTGGTTAACAGTGTCACCAAGTGTACACGTTATCACACCTCCTCCTTATAAAGTTATATAACTTAAAGATAGCTAATGTCTTAATGATAACATAAGTTACATAAGATTATAATTTTACAAATAAAAAACAGAATTATAATCTAAAATACAATTACAAACCAAAATGCATTTTCAATATCAATACTAAACAGTTTCAGTCTCAATATTAATATGATACAATTTCAATTTCAAAATAAAATTGCAATATAAAAGTTTTAAGCATAATTTTAACAAATTGATTAAAAGTAAATAAGTAATTACATTTTTCATTACATTCTATTATTTTTTTACCAAATAATAACCAATCACAATATATTTCTCAAATGTTATTTGATATTGATCAAAATAATTTGTTTGGTCCAATTCTCAACCTATCTGATCTTGTTTTATTCATCTTTCCAATAGCCTCTTCTGTTATCTCATTATAATATTCCTCCAAATTTTTAATTATCTTAGGTTCTATTACTTCTTTCTTTTTATCTGACTCGAGTTCATTATGAATTTTCAATTTTGTCAAAAATATTGTACTTCATAATTTCCAATTATTACTATCCAGAACTAGATATGATCTAGGTTCTGCATATTTCATAATTATTGCTCCTTCAATCAAATTCTGTGTGAATTTATTCTGTATAAATACTCTTTCACCAAAAAGTTATTTTCACTCACCTTTGATCCTCTATTGTAATATTTAGCCTGATTTTCTATTTTAGAATTAATCATTTCTTTAAAATTTAAAACTTTAGGTTTAAATAATTTTTTCCTATGCAGGGCATTTAGTTTAGTTCTAATTTCTCTATTTTGTAGCAGCCCAGTTGCTGTGCAGTGTTAACCATCAACAAGTGGTTTGCGGTAATTCATTAAATTTTAAAGATTTTCATCAATAGAAATAGCATTCAAAATATTTACATGTATCTATGCTGTATTCAAACTCAAGTGGTGAACGGTCATTTTCCATTATGAAAAGAGTTAAAACATATGTTTATGATTGTTACTATCAAATGAAAAAAGTTTATGGTTATCAGTTGGTATTGTGCACGGAAGCTGAAATTCTAAATACTTGGTATTAATTGGAATGATTTAGTAAACAAATTTACTAAAGGGAAAACAAGAACATTTTTTTCGTAATTTGTTAATACATTTCAATTGAAATAAAACATAATCAGATTTAGATAAAGGTTAATTATAATTATATGAATATGATCGATAGGTACACTTAATATCCACTGAATCTAATACTGATAGGTACCATAATGCACATTTCAAGTAGACCTAAGTAATAATAATACTGACCACTTTAGTTCCGTTAGACTTGTGGCTAGACAACATCAGAATCGTGAGATAAGAATTAAAAATATGGGTGAATGTATTTTGAAGTCTCAATAGTTATCCAATCAGTATAAATATATATAAAAAATAATCCTTAATCTTTTCATGTAGTTACACCAATAATGTATTAAATAATTGTCGAGAAAGTCGATAAATATGAATCTGATTATGGGTGGAAGAGAGGGGCGCTCTCTTTTATTTATATTCTCTTTATTATCTCTTTTATATTTTAGTTTTCAATGATTCATATACGTTTTATTTTACACAATAAATATTTTATATTATAACGCGTATTGCATAACATATAAAGGATGTAGGCATTTATTTATCTATGAAAAAATAATAATAATTTAAGTTTTTCACTACTAAATAAAACCTACGTCACCTAATGAGCAGTTTATGACTTTTCTAAGGGTATCTAGTTATTTACCTATTTTATTTATAAAATTCTATATATATTCAAGAATTTAATTTTCAAGTGGAATTTTGTTGTTTTAAAAAAAAAAAAACCATATGGATTGAGAAGCGATATTTGGTTATTTTAAACAATGTTAATCACGAATTAAAACTGGTAGTTAAATACAAATATTTTCTACGTTTACTTCGACCGGGAGCAGCGGCGCGCTCTTGTAATCCGGCTGCTCGGAGGTTAAGATTGCGTGGATCGGTTTGGGTGGGGCACTGTCGACCGGGCGTGTTAGACAATCGATTGCACGACGACACGAAATTGACCACAAATACTACTCTTAATCAAATGAAACAATCGAAGTCGTTTACAGACTGATAGGATGTATATGTAAGGACATCTTTGTATGGGAGGGTTGTCAGGGAATTACCCGATATTGACAATCCGACAAAGACACCAGGTCCACATAATCTTGAAAAGTCGAAAAAAAATACTTTGTATTTCTGAGTGAAAGTGTGTTGATAATCTCGTCTGTGACACGCCCGGCAAACAGTAACCCCAGACGTCAACCAGCCCGAGACCGCAATCAAAAATTTTTTGCATTTTTTCTTCTAGAAGTTTATTAAATTAAATTTTTTTTTATCTGTGCGCCAGACGACTCGCTCAGATTTTTAAATGTAGCACCTTTCCTAAAAGGAAATCGGTGCGAGGTCATTTTTCGATTTTCTCATCAAATTTGAAAAAGCAAAAAAAAAATAGTAGGAAAAACAAGAAATAAATGTTAAATGTTAACATATTACGGCCTTCTTTTGTCCTGTGAATAACTTTTTAAATGTTTAATATCTATAAATTAGATTACTGATAATTAGTGTACGCAGAATTTTAGTTAAGTTAGGGTTTTTACCATAGATTTATCATAGACCCGTGGGGGGGGGGTTCATCCCTCACTCTATAGTTAATTTAGTAAATAATACCAACACAATTAACATACAATTTAATTCTTCCAAAGTCATATTTATATATTTGTCTTAATTCTTAAGATCTTGTACTTAATTTGTTAATTATAAAATTACTAAACAATATTTATCGTTTTAAAAGTTAAACAGTAACAATTTTTTTATACTTACAATAAACATACTCTCAACCATTATATAGTTACAATATGATTACGTATCACTGCGGAAACTGATAGAGCATACTTAAAAATAATACATCCATATTTCATAGAGGGATAGACCATATATATTTTTAACTAACACAGCTGCTTTCTATTATATCTTTATGTACCTACCACGGTTATCTACACATTTATACATACCTATACCTGTCTGAGCTCACAGATAATTTTTTTATTTGCACTAAAATTAACAATAAAAATGATCAATACTATAATTTAAAAAAAATGTTGAGAGGAGGAAATTTCAGAGGAAAGAGTTAGAACCCTAGAACCCTAACCCTGCCTACGATACTGTATATATCTATACCATTTAAACTTTTTCATTCTCAATTTTTTTTTCAAGTGGGTGACAGATCAAATCCAATAACATAAAAACATAAATAACCGAACATACTAATTACCATATCAACCAGTCAAAATAAAACTAACATAAACTAAACAGATGACAATAAATGTCAAATATAAATGTATAATAATAATAATAATAATAAAACCGTAACATCATATTTTTCTATATTGTTTGACTCCAATACTTTGCTATTTCAATGGTTTTGTTGTTTGCTGATTTTAAGTCTGATAACTCGCATTTGATTGGGCAGTTGTAGATTAGTAGATATTCCGAAGTCTGAATCTTTCCGCATTCACAATTAGTGTCTTCCTCCTTGTCGATTATTCCCCATTTTTTCGGGTTTTCTTGTCTGTCCAACTCCTGTACAAAAACGATTAAATGTCTTCCAAATCTTTCATTTATTGTTATACCCCATGGGTAATTTATAATTTTAAAATTTATTTTATTTTATTTAAATTTAAAAATGTATACTTTTAAAATTGATTGAAGACAATCCGTTTTGTCCTGTATCTTATACATTGTGTACCTTTCATCCGAGATCTGTTCCGTCCGTATCATGATCATTAATCCAAAGTCATTCTCACCTAAAATAGCATTAATTTATTATCGCTAAATTAAAATAGTTTTAAATTACTCAAAAAACATCGAATATATTTTTAAATTAATTATACCACGTAAAATATACCTATAAGTAATTTCAAGTCTCTAATGACTCATTTTCACATAATACTTCTAGAGTACTTGGTCTAGACTATAGGACATGTTGGGTTAAAAATATTAACTTTTCAGTTTGATTATCTATATATTCATAAATTTCTTCTAAATATAATATCTTTAATTTTAAATTTGTATGGAATAATTTATTATTATTACAAATAAAATCACTGTAGGTCTTTTTTTATGTACGTATAATTCTTTTAAAATTTATTTGTTATTTTCATTTTGACCGTTGTGCTGTTAGTTATTAACGAAGACATTATTATAAGAAAGTGATATAGAAGCAGTTTTTTTTATTAGTAAATTAATTAGTATACAAAACTTCAACAAAGTCCAAAATATATGTAATGGACACACTTGAAGAATAAAATTGCTTTCCGTGATTTTTTCGTTTTAAAAAAGGTTATTCACATTGGTTGCCGAATTAAAATTTCCTAGAATTTCCTAGAAGCAGTAAGTGGAACTCTTGTTACTAGTAGGAGAGCAATACAGAAATTGTAAAGGGTTTTTTGGTTTTAGTTTCCAATACGTATGCGATGCAACTTTAGAAATTATGGAAATAATAGCCAAATGTGTAATACTTTTATTTAGTAAAATGAATAATATTTTCATGGGAAATATTATTTGAAAACAATGAATTTGATTACAGTATACTACTCGGTGATGGAGATATCATATAGAAATTATTTGCTCATTTCCCTATTAACCCTAATAGGTGTTTCTAAAAAAAAAACAAGTTATTATAGTAAAGAAACAAATAGTAGAAAATATTAAAGATGAAATTGTTTTTTAATCTTTAATATTTTCTACAAATTTGTTTCGATGTTATAATAAAATGTATCTTAAGAAATTAGTTATTTATTTATTTAGTTAGTGAATATTAGTCTAATAGTTACATAATACAGTAAGATTGACAAGTTACATTTTGATAGATTAATAATAATATAAATATAATGAAAACATCAAAAAAATAAAAATAAAACATTTAACAACAAAAAGAGACAAAGTATTTTACATATAAATAACAAGTTATAGTGTGAATGCGGAGAATAAATCTGAGGTAGAGGTTAAAGGGTGTTATGGAAATGTAGTATTCTGTGAAGGGGTAGCTGTGGTTGTAATTTGTGCAATGAGAACAAACATGGAACAATTGAATCTCGACAGTTGAAGAGAAGTCACGGTGAGATACCATCTGGGGCTACTTAATAACTTCAAAAAATATTATTCTATACATTTTCTTAATACAAATTTGAACAGCAATTACTTACATAATAATAGTTTTGGCCAACAATATAGATAATTAGATACAATATCTTCAGTATTTTCTTAATAATTTTGATATCAATATCAAGATGATTGATTAGGGCTTGGAACAATAAAGTTGACGGATCTATAAAAGTGTACATATAAAGCATATATTATATACTAGATAATAAATTATGGCATATTGCGATATATTTCAAACAATTAGTTCAGCACACCAAACAATTTAGTCTAAAATCTAAATTCAGTTCCGATTGTTTGCTCGCAATGAGACATCATAATCATTTCATTTTGTTATTAAATTTATATTAGTGAAAAATGAGCAAAAATTTTAAATTAGTATAATTGAATGATGCTAGAAATAATATATAGCAACATTTTGGTTTTAAAATTAATGAAAAATTAACAATTATATTATATAAAAATCAAGTTTTTTGTAAAAAGTACAAATGTTCTGTTGGTTATAGTAGAAATACAATTAATCTTAAAACACATTTTCACAAATGTTCAAGTACAAAACCAAGAATGTCAAATAGTTTAATTCTATATTTAAAACAAACTACTTCCAAATTTCCAATCTAAAAATACAAAATGAAGTAGAATTAATCTTAGTTTCAATATTAGAAAATGAAGAAGATATTGAAACATTTGAAACACACTCTCTCCGTCATAAGAAATTACGATCATTAATGATAAATAGTGATGATGATGACAAAGACAATTATTCAGTAACTTTAAGTCCTGCGATTATACAACTTGAGGGTACAGAAATTTGAAAATTAATATTCGCTAGGATCAAAATCCTTTAAATTGGTGAAAACAAAACAAAACTAAATACTCAGCTGTATCATTCATCATTATCTAAAGGATGTACCTTGTTGTGATAGCCATATATCTCTGCCGTTCACCGCATTTCTCAGCTGTGAATAGGATGTGACATTCATGGGATGTTTTTGGGATCCAAATTCCAAAACATTAATGGAAAAACTGCATGAAGAAGATAATCCGTAAACTGAAAAATATATATTTCTATTATTTCTAATAATTTCAACTAAATTTCTATTTTAGAATATTATAAAATATATGCAAATTGATATTGGCAATTTAAACTTTATTATTGGCTAAAACTTTTGTTAAAGTACAAAATATTTACAAAAAATACCACTTATGACAGAATTCTGAATTGTTTATTTAATATAATTTAAATAAAATTTTTTATTAAGATAAATTTAGGAAATTGTAAATTTTGAAAAAAAAAAAAAATGAATTATCAAAAAAAATTTATCTTGCACTAATTATCTGCCTCCGCTTACTACTACTGAATCCTATATTTTTTCATAAATCAATGGCTGAATATAAATTTATTTTTTCCTGGTACTTTAATTATACTGTAAGGTGACTTAGGTGACATAGGAAATACTTCACTTTGTACTATATGTTTAACAAATTAAAATTGTTTGTATACTTCATGCATAATTTAAGTTATGTAATAATATAATTTTACTTTTAATTAATTTTTAGGTTCAATTTGATTTTCAAGACGACTAATTGATTTTTCATTTATTACACTGCTAGATGATGTTTTTAACACTGCTAGTTTTATATCATCTAGTGAAGTTAAGGGCTGGGATTAATTTCTTGGTCGGTTCTCTTGGATTCCCTAGAGGGTTCGGAAGAGCTGCTTTAACACCCAGACTTGCTTTATTGCACAAACCTTTTCGTGGCACTAGATACCAGTAGTATCACGGACATTTACGATGCGAACATGTGTAAATTCTCGCTGGGCGGCGAGTGTCGGTACTTCCCCACCGAGGTTGTATTCAGCGAGGAATCGAGACTACGACTCGCCTCTTCACATGGTTGTTTGGGGTCTTCTCGCGCTTTGACCATTGGGTCGTACCGTGGGATATTACTGGACGGCCTACTTAACTCTAACAACAGAGATTGTGTTATCGCGCAAGTGTCGGGAGACGCCTGGCTGCCTCCGGTTTAAACTAATCGTCTATTCCGTTGGTGGATCAGTGTCAAAATATGTCCAACTTATAACATCTATGAAAAGTAGTCCGGGTGGTCTTTGGAACCCTGGTGTGTCCACCCTGCTCGGTGACGAACGGAGGCCTTGGTGCCGGTTAAATAGCTAGGGACCACCCATCCGACGGTGACTGAATCCATGAGTAGACGGCAAATGAATTGAGTAGTGGGTGCTGGGAACATGCTTTGATGTATTAAAATTCACCTGTAGTTCATGAATAGCTATTATAGCTAATAGATGGTTCACGGTTGTACCGTGCTTTTAGCATGGATTAAAAATTGGATGCACTGCCAGTTTTATATACAATAATTTTACCTATAAAGTTAAAATCACAATGAATACTGACACATTTAGATGTAGGTACAAATGTTAGAGATATAGAAGAATAATATATACTTTGTTATTGCTTTTTTCCATTTTAGCATATTTTTTTTAATTATATCATAAAAAGCTTTCAGTTGGTGAACATTTTTGAAACCGAACAAATCAACACTATTATATTAATTTTGAATTGATTTTCATTTATTTTTTCTTTCACACTTATTATATTTGTCTAAAGAAAAATAAAATAATATTTAGTTATATGTACTGATATTACAAATTATAAAAATTATTTTACATAGAAAATACAAACCTTTACACACTTAATGACATTACTATATGTTGCCATTATATCAAGATGTGATGATTTCTGATTTTTATTGAAATTGTTTCTTTTTTTATGTTTTGACATTCAGTCATTGTGTCACAAATTATAATTTAATAATAAATATAATATGAACAAATTAACAACTTCTAGACAAATTATTTTCAGTTTATCAATTATTTACGTTTTATCAACATAATATTTATGTTGATAATAAAATAACGAACCACGGATTTAGATTATTAAACCATTATGGTATGTGGTTAAATCATAGCACTTTTACTACACGATACTGTTTTGAAATTCCTTGGTGTAAACCAATGTATCCAATGATAGTATTATCATTGTCAAAAATTAACAATGATAATACTATCAATTAAATATTTATCAATTATTTAAATTATAAGTGTATAACTTTAGATCATATACTATGGTTATGGCTATGCGTATAATTACTCTAGCACCGAATTGTGTACGTCATTTCCACTACTTTCAACATTTCATGGTACACGGCACAAATGCGCAAACCCAGAAATCAGTATCAAATAATTAAGTTTTATTTTCAACGATACAACGTATCATTATTACAGTATCATTCGTTATAAGCCGCTAGCTGATTTCTGGGCATGTGCAATTTTGTCGTGTATCATGAAATTTTATACGTTTTGGAGATGATGTTGGACACAATTCGGTATACGAAAAGTTACATCCATAGTATATGATCTAAAGTATAACCTATACTATACTTCCCATTTATCGCTAAAAAATACTTAATACAAATTAATTTGAGTAGGTATTAATTATTATCAATTAAATTATTATTATCATCATTTATCTGTTCATTTATTATTTAGAAGGGGAAAAAATGAGAGGGGATAAAATCGGTGTAAATAGTTCGCACCATATTTGCATGTGATGGTGTAGAAAAATTAAACCAATTTCGTTAATTTTTATATCGGTTACAATAAAAAATTTCTTAAATTCACACTGGTTTGATTTTCAAGGGGAAATGTACACCGGTTTGTACCTACAAATTTTTTGTGTGACGCAACTCCCTATCCTAGACCGAGATAAAATGTGTGCTGTTAATGTCCCTTGCCGTGAGGCCCGCTTTAGTAGTGTGCTCTAGTGCTGCAATTCGAATCTCTGTAAATAGTGCAAAGTATACTGCAAATAATGCAAATAAGACCGTGGTGCAAAGTATACTGTATATCAACACTATATTCACGTATTGTATTACTGATAGCCGATAGATAAGGATTATAAAGATGAAAATAAAAATTTGTTTTTTAAATTTCTTCTGTTACACTATACATTTAATTAATTGTTATTATATTATAAAATTAAGATTTTGAACAGTGGATTATTTTTTTTTCTTATAGTTTTCTTTAATTTTGTCTCGATTTGTTTGTCCTGTCTGTCGCGTTCGCATACTTGTACAATATTTAATTGAATAAGCGATGATATAAACTTTTTGTTCTACACATGAAAAATGAATGATTCAAATTTATTGATAATTCCGTCTACAATATTATCAAACACAATTTAACTTTCACAGTGCTTTTGAAATTCATCTCTATAGCACTCATCAAATTATATAAGTTTTTGGATGTTTAAGCCATCCTTTACTTTTTATGTTTGTTAAATGGGCTTCTACTCTGTTGTTTTGGTTAAATGCGATACAGTATTTTAATTTTAGGCATTTTGTTCTATTTATAATTTGATGATTTAAATACCCTACAATAGATATTTTATCCAATCAGCAAAAGGAGCTAATGAATAATCATGTTCAAATACGCCAGTAAACTTTCATTTACCTTCAATTTATTATATTGTCTAGTCTTGTTATAAGTTTTTCAAAAACTAATGAATTATACCAGCATATTATATATTTTTTATGTCATATTTGATAAGATCTTTTTATAAGAATGTTTTAATAAAATTTTCTTCGAGATTATCTCATTCTATCCCATAGTTTCCATATTTTGGAGGTTTCAACATAGAATATTTGCAACATATTTGCTGCTAATAATTTATATACTTGTAGGAACCTATACTTTTATGCATTAAGGGTCTTCTACAGTAGAATTTTATAAGGCGCAAAATATAGGCAATTTCGAATCCGACGTTGTTGCTTTATGTCCTTGTGTTAGTCGTAAACGATCATTAGTGTGAGTGCGTTTGGATGCGTTACCTACTGCATCATCGTAATACGTAGTAAATCGCATCGTTATCGCAAATTTATTTTTGGGTTTATTACTTTATTTTGGATATTACAGTGAAACTTCCATATAACGAACTTCCATTTAACGAAATTTTCTGTTTAACGAAATATTTTTAAGAACTATGACCTTCATTGTTAATTACACATTTAATTACACGTTTTATCTCCAANGTTTATGTCATAGTTCTAAAATTGTACATGAACAATGTACCCGATAAAGATAAGACACCGAAGGTAGGCAAACTGATTAATTTTAACTGCAGTACTTCAGTTCCAATATTGATGCAAACGAGTATGAATTTTCTTTCGTTTTCTCTTCGTCCGTACAAAAAAAATGTCGAAACGTAAATGTTTATCTATCGCCGATAAATTTGAAATTTTAAACAAAGTCGATAAAGGTGTTAAAAAAAAAGATACTGCCGCAAAATATAGTATTCCAACAGGTTCTCTATCAACTATTTTGAAAAACTGTGAAAACAAAACACGCCCTATGCTCATCATACCTAAGTATACTTAAAAGTTGAACGTAATGCAATATTTTTCTTATAGTCTTTAAAATTTAAATTTAGACGAAAACCGTTAAAATTTCCGCTTGTAGTACCTAAACAAAATTATTGTTTATGTAGATACAACTTTTAACTCCATAAAAATGATTAAAGATTTAAGACAAAAAAGACGTCCTAGGATAATGGGGTTGGGTGTAGCCACTGTTATAAGTAATTTAATGTATACCTGTAAGCAACGATAAACCATTGCAAATGAAAAAAACGATTCTGAGCGGAGTTCAGTTGATAATGATGCTTTCTCAATAATATTGTGTCATATTATGGTAAAATAATTTAAAAGGTATTATAATATATATATATTTACCTTAATAATATTTGTTTAATATACCGATTTTCCTGTTTTTCCTACGTTTTTCCCGGTTTTCCTATGGCTTTTTTTATTTGATGAGAAACATTCTGAGAAAATCGAAAAATGATCTCCATAAAGTACCTTCCAACACTGATATCCTTTCAGAAAAGGTGCTACACTTAAAAATCAAAGCAAGATCTGTGGTAGAAAAGTTGTCCTCAGAATAAAAAATAAACTTCTTTGTAAGCTTCTTCGCTCCGTTCAAAATCTGAAACACGAATAATTGTAATCATTCAACTTATAGTTAGATGAAATATAATTTTTACTTCATTAAATGTATCAAAGTATGTATATGCATGCATAAGCATGTATACACCCTATACATCCTACATAGCTAACTTTTTAATTTTTAGTATCATACAAATATATTTGAACGAAGAGTAAATAGTTTACTCAGATGTTTATTATTTTATGACGCTTGAAAAAAAGAATAAAACACATTATGTTTATTCATGCACTTCATAGCAACTAAAGTTACTGCAAACGACACTCTCTTAATCACAAAATGATTTCTATATTTTGCTTCAATGGCAAAATATTATGTATTTTTATAGTTTTCGTGAATATTATTGATTTGGCCAGTTCAGCATTTAGTAAGTAACGTTAAACTTAACGAATAAAATATAATAGTATGATTTAATAATATTTAAAATGTCTAATATAAGTACCTAATAATAGTATTTAGAATGAGGGGATGGAGGGGAGCGGAGTCTCTTTTCTACTTTAGGTAAAATTATCAGTTCCTTTAAGTTTAAATCTTCAAAATCCCACCGAGATTTAAACAGAATATTACATAATAGTGTAAGACACACTAGTGTTGTGTGATCGAACAGTATGTCCTAGTGCCAAGGAGTGAAACGCCATATTGATTGCATGAAATTCACGCCGTCTATTTTATCAAAAATAGACGGCGTGAATTTCTTTAAGTATACTGTTTAGAATGAGGTTGCAGTGTATAGATAAACTGATATATCCAGGACCCCTTGGACGTTTAGTCAACTGTAGGGTACTTGGAATGGTATGCTCATGTTCAAACTAGAACATTTTGGTAGCGACGCGTTGCGATACAATGAGTTGACAATGTATAGGTTCGAATAATTATATAATTAATTGCCTAACTTTATTAAATTATGAAATATTCACAAACTATTATATTATAAATTATAACATTACAACTACGACTATTAGGAGCATATTACGTGCGCGAGTGTGTGAACTATAATATTACAGCTACAAAATATAATATAATATGTTATCATTCCATCTTCCTCTTTGCAATATTATAAGATGAATTCAATATCAAATAAATTAAACGAAGCCTATTTTTATTATGTATATATATTTAACAACACAATGTAATACATAACTAATCGTGCTAAGATTTTTTTCTATCCATATAACATAGGTAAGTACTGTGATTGACTAATATTACGCACCAAGATATAAATCGACTGGTCACGGTATGGTGTGCAGGTGACGGGGGACGGGGTATAAAAGTTTCCTCTCCTATTAACAACACTGTAAAGTTATGGGTTTCAACGCTGCTGGTGGTTTATTTGGAATCATATTTATAATTAGATTATTTACCACCAGGGTTTCTTTTTTTTATTATTGATAGCAGAGAAAAAGTGTAGATTTTGGTAATCAATTAGGTCTTTGGTTAACTGGAGTCTGGTGTCAGGTATTTTTTAGATTCTGCGTGGAGCGAAAAAGCATATGGTTTTACAAAGATGTTTGTTTATTTTTAATTTTTGTTTTGTGATTTTTCATCATACTAGTACAACTAAAATGTTTAACAATAATAATATCAAACAATTATATCTGTCAGTTCTACTCATTACCACCCAAGAGCGCCAAACGTTAATTTATTATGCAGTAGTGTAAAAAAAATTCCTACGATTTCTTTATTTAAGCCACCAAAAGCTAATTATTACTTAACTAATGATAATGCTAAATACTGATTTAGTCAACAGATAGCGTTGTAGATCGTTGGTCTACATCAGTGTTTCCCAAATTGGGCGATATCGCCCCCTTGGGGGCGCTAGAGCTATCCAGGGGGGCAATGGAAGTTACAAGCTTAATTGGAGGGCATTTCATTACAAAAGGGGGCGGTGACAGTTTCATCTGTCGTTATCGCAATAACAGAAACACTGTACGTGATCCAGATTATCTGAATTGTGTATTTTGTATTTTTAGATTAATCGTTCGTCGTCTATCGACAATCGTCGATAATCTGTCGTTTTAGCGATAACAGAAACAACGTACGTGATCTAAATTATCTAAATTATTTTTGTATTTATTACACTCGCGAATGCCGACCTTATTCGTTGTCGTTTTTACGTAGACTCTACATTGTGATCTCCCGCACTTGTCTCTTGTGCACTAATTTGTAGGCACTGATCACATTAGTCCATGATTATTAGTCCAATATATCTTAACCCGTGACTAAAATTTATCTCTAGTTACAATCTAACCTAACCATATTACAATGGTACTAGAAATTGTTCTCTAACTAAACAATATTTTTCAGTTCTTTTGGATTTAAACAAATTTTTAATGATGGATCTAACTCTTGTTCTACTATCTACTGTCTACCAAATTATTTACTCATTCACTTGGTTCTACCATTGAAGTTATTATTTCTTTTCTTACCAGTTTTCTAATTTTAATTTCAACCTTTCTTTAATTTGTATTGGTATTATTCTTGATGTACTAGCTTTTGGTTCTATTCCTTCTTTTAATTTAAGATTAAATAATATATTCGGAAAATAACTTACAATTTAAAACACATCACTATTTTATTTTGTATAGAATTATTTCAGTCTAACTCATTATTATATATTATTGTTATCACATTCACATTTTACAATAACTTAAATTCTGTAAGTGTTGGCAGTCCTTTTATTGACCGACTATTATAACAAACTTTGTTTCAATACTTTTATCATCTAATTTTAATGAAGTTTTTATTTTTCCTATGGGTTTTATTTTAAACATCGTGAAATTGCTATCATTACTTCTATTTTTTTAATTAAATTCTGTAAATCTAGATATTTAAAGTCTTCTACTGATAAATAGATAACGTATTTATTACAGCATTACCATCTGATTTGAAATTAATTTTTTAAATATTAATTTCAAACTTTTTATTCCATATATTTCCATGATATTTTCCATGATTTGTTTTAACTATGTTTCTTAGGTCTCCTTTTTATTTTACATATAATTTTATGCATGGATTTGTTTGATTTAATGACTCCGACAAGTGTTCGTCTATTGCTTTCTGCACGTATGTTAAACGGCAGGGGTGGTTTCGATCACCATTAATAATATTACTGTTGTCGGGCATTAAAATCTTGAAGAAACCGGACTGAAACATACTTACGTAGGCATCTATTGACAATAATATGAATTACAATGGACTACATCAATTATAGATAAGAACATGATGTAAAAAATAACTTCTAACTAATAATAAATGGTTAAAAAATAAACTTTTTTTTTTGAGTTAACAAAAAGTAAAGTACTTATTTTGTAACGCCATACGCTTATAAAAAAGTAGGGCTAATCTTAGGGAAAATTTCAATCACTAGATGTTAGAATTTAAAATCGACTTAACTTTTAACTCGTTCATGGCTATCCTTGTTTGTTTGTACTAATATTTCTTATCTTCGGTAAACAGGTAAAAAGGCAATCAATTAAGTAGTAAACTATATTAATATGTATAATAATACTATAAACATAATATTTATATAAATTTCATATTTTTGTAGTAAATTATACGAGTAAGAATTCTGGAATAGGTAAGTAAATTTATTTTATCAATATTTTCTATACATATAATGCAAAAGTAACAAATAAAAAATAATTTTTAAAATGCTTGTCTTTAAAGCTTGAATGTAAAAAAAATGCATTTATGATTTATGCATTTTGCATAAAGAAATGTATTGTTAATTAAATTAGTATTTATTATTTAGAATTGAATAATAAATGGAATTACAATGATTATATTACTTTTGTTTGACTTTTAAGTTAAAAGTGTCAATAATGTTTTCAATTTTAATTGTCGACACTAATTCCTAATCAATCAGGATAGTCCGAGAATTTACCAGATTTTCGTATAGTAGATTTGCGATAGTAGATCTTAAATAGGTACGTTTTAATTTTTTTAAGCTACGAAAACGACGAACCAACGTCAATCAGTTGAGCAAATCAATTGTAAATAGATTTTTAGATATTTTAACTTCATAAATTTATCAGTACGAAGTCTAATCTTCAAGCTATTTGTTTAAAATCTGTTTCTCAAACCTAATATAACACAATTAATTATTTTAAAATAACCGTTAATTTTCCAGTACTCAACTGCGTGTCTTCATCATACATTTCTTCATCCATATTAACACTAGATCATTCACCACAAGTTTTATTACTAGTAGTTTTGTAAAAATGTGTTGTTTCTCTTATTTTATGTTTGGAATTAGTGAAATAGGAAATAAAAATGTTTAAAGATATAAGATCACATCAAATCCTTAAACTTTGATAATAAGTTAAACAAATTAAATTAAATAAATAAATAAATAAAAATAAATATTAATTACCTATAAATGTTAAAAACATTTTTCCATTCTAGAATAAAATCTAATTAGTAAACATTTTTATAACTTTTAGCTAGAATTTTAAATGAAATCTTCTGTCCACACCATTTTATATTTTTTGGAACAACGGTCATTTTCAAATGTTTTTATAATGCTATTAATTAAATTTACTGACTTTCTCCAAGTTTTTTTTTTCTCATGTATTTGGGTACCTATATTATATTAATATTGTTTTGAATTTTATACATTATTATACAAAAAATTCGGAAATTTTTTGTCCCACTTGCTTGTAAGACGGGGCAAAGGATAAAAATAAAAAATAACGCACACAAATCGTGACATACTGGTTTCACTAAGAATTGACGTGGGACGAGGGATAAGTATACTAAAAATCGTGGATATCCTGGCAAATCGGGACGTATCCCTTATTATTGCCCTCCAGAATGTTGTGATTTTTTAATTTTATAATAAATGATTTTACTCTAAAACCAAAATTAAGCGAGTTCTACGCAGACTACGAAAGGTAGATTTTGCTATATTGCTGTTGGTTGAACGAAAACAGCACATACGGGGATAGCGTCTTTTTAAAAGTGACAATAAACAGAAATAATTTTAAGGGGTATAATATGTATTTACAATATTAATGAAAAAAAAAAAAAATTATATGAAGTTGAAACTGACATAACAGGACAAGATGATACGTATGCTGAAGGACTAACGTGCACAGGAAATGCAACCGATTGGGACATAAAACTTGATCCTTATAGGAGAGATGTACAAAAGATACATTCAGGTAAATTGAAATTGTATAATATAATTTTGTATAATTATAAATTATAGTTTTGATCAGTGGCGTATTTAGAATATATGTGCTCCGGGTCTAAATAACTTTATTGTCTGCCCCTCTCCTCCCACTTATTTTCACCCACTAATATTTCATATGTTTCACTCATATCACATTTATCTCAAAACGATTTGATACGGTATTCTGTTATCACTTATTACTTATCACTTAGGGGTACTAAATGTAGACCACTTAGTGTAGAAAATAGTCTACACAAAAGGCGACCGTACTCGACATAAAATAATTATTCATGGTCCTATTATACAACAGCGCTTACAACAATTACTAATAGGTAATTGTGGAATTAATCAATTTATTAATCAATGATATTTTAAATGTTCTACATTTTGTGATAAAAAAAAAAATTAATACATCCAATAAAACTGCCACCCCTAAAACTGTAAAAATGTCCCCCCCCCTAAATGCGTCACTGGTTTTGATATAATAAAAAATATTATGACATTTTGCTACTCATGAAAATATTAGGTAGCTTTATTGTTTGTATAGATAAATAATCATCGTTCCACGATAATTTTAAATTTCGATTTTAGATTGTATAACTATACTATTACCAGTTAATTATAATGTTATTCGATAATTTTTAATAGAATATCACATTTAGTATACTCATCGCAGCTGCTACGTGTGAAATCGAAAAAATAATACAAAAACACAGTGTACATTTTTCTCCGAAAATATCCGGTCAAATATAGGTTTTTCGAAAAAATTAATCGATACCACCGGTATTGGCCGATATCAAATGTCAGTATATGTATCGGCTCACTGTTAATTATAAATACTATGGATTGCTTATTGGTCGTTTTTTCGGCAGCGGAAAACAAAAATCCCGCTATAGATAGCCAAAGGTCGAGTGCACTTGGCGAAACCGGTTCATGTACCATATACCTGTTCGTAGCTACAAGGCTATCGTAGCGTACAGTTCGATTGAGCATAACACGAATTACTACTGAACATATATCCGATACTTTTTTAGCAACACGATTGAGCATAGATGATTATATGCGACGTTGCCTCGTTGTTGACATTTTTATATTTTCACGTATTGTTACACCAACTATTGATAGTATCAATTTGATACCAAACTTAAACGAGTCGTGAACCGAGCCTAGTTTTATCGAAAAATGTTATCGATATTGATAAATATTAGATTTATCCGTAATATATAGACCGTTAAAGAGGGCTATAGAAAATTAACTGTGAAATCGTGTAATTTTTTAAATTTATACTATATTTTGAATTATTATAATTATTTAATAAATATTTTTTTGTATAATACAGTTCAAAATTGAAAATGGCAACATCATAGAGTTCTTTTTATGCTCAATCGTATAGGTTTTCTTTTGTATTTATGTATCCTTTGATATGCCAACAAATTTGCTTAATCACTTCGTAAAAAAGATGTTTTATGCTCAATCGTGTTGTAGCCGATTAAAGATATTTTTAATTTTGTATGTTGTACAAACATTTACATATTCAGTATAAATATTTTTTATCACTTTTGTTTTTATTTTATTGTTTGGTTTGTTTCATTTTTGACTTTTTTTATTTTTACCTTGTGTAATCATACTATTTGCAATAATAAAAAACTAACACAATAAATAATTAAATATTAATACAAATTTAAAACTAATGAAAATAGGTGAAGATGAAATATTTTATGCCGAGAGGGCCTAAAATACATCTGATTTCAGAGGAAAAACTTTTTAGTTCAATTGTTACCTTTAACAGATTCCTATAAAAAAAAAAAACTTGTGGTAGTTGTACTGCCCAATATTCTGGAACGAATATAGTTTAGCTATTAAGCGATTTTTTGGAATTTTTTTTCCAAAATGTGTGTTTTTACATGTTTTATTTGATGGTAATTTCAAAAAACTTCGCTCAAACTTCATTTGGAAGTTATGGTCAAAAATCTTTAAATGCTCGATTTTTTTAAAAATCGTGTTTTTGAGTAAAGATACCAAAAATTTATATTTTTGGAATTATTTTTTTAGAAATAATATGCTTAACATTTTGTAAAATCAGAATACACCTATCGTAAATTCTTTTTATATTATTAATAGTAAACCACGTAAAAACGAATTATAATGTTATTTCAATCATTTGCATATTAAAATTGATTTATTGGACTTTTTTATTTCATTCAGTGTGTAATAAAATAAAGAAGTTTTTGGTTAAATCAGAACTATCTAATACTTTTTGATTTGAAAGAAATAGTGGAAAATGTATCTTTTCTTATGAATACATAAACATCACATTTTACCTTTGGAAAAATAGTTTATTTAATACTATTTTATTTTATTTTTATTTACTGAGGTCAAAATAATTAAAAAAAAAAATCCCCGATGAGGGAGAGCTGAGGGGCATGGTAAAGTTTATACAACGATTATAACGTAAAATTATTGTTATAAATATATAACAAAATATTTAATAAAGTTTTAAAATTTACTATTTTTCTATGTGAATACTTGGAATAATCTCAACATTTCCATACATATTCGTCAATGCAATTAACTTTAAAATATAACTTGAGACTTTAAGAGGATGTCCATGAACGCATTTTAATGTGTTATGCTTAACAATTAGCGTCCAAAAATGTAATTTTTTAATTACCGTCAAAGAAATAACCCCTTGGCGTTTACGTTCAAGGAGCACATAAATATCAAAAAAATATTAGCTAGTTTTGATATCACTAAAAATTTCTTTATGTTATTTCACGTCAAATGAAAACAAATTTCGAAAAATCAATTTTGATTTACTTTAACATGAAAATAACTGAAATAACATTATAATTAGGTTTCACGTGGTTTATTAATTATTAACAATGACATGCAAATTAAGGTTCACTAAAATGTTAAGCGTATAACTTCTACTATTTCTAAAAAAAATAAAAAAAATATACATTTTTGGTATTTAAAAACTCAAAAACACGATATTTTAGAAAAATTGATCATTTTGAAGTATTTTGACTATAATTTCCAAATGAAGTTTGAACGACTCTTTTTGAAAGTGTCATAAAATTAAGCATGTGAAAATACTTATTTGAGAAAAAAAGTCCAAAAAATCTTTTAGGAGCTATATATGCCACACAAAATAAATACAACTAAAAGTATCTATAACCGTTACAATTTATATTAAAATAAAATTTGTGTTCAAATTCCAATATGTTTGTTATTTCTACAAATAAAACTAAAAGTACGTTATAAAAATTTCGGAGGCACATTTGTAATTCAGGGGACTCAAAGTGTGTCAGGGGACACAGTATTTTAAATTCCGTTATGCCGGAAGACTAGTGTTGATAAGTAATGCAACTGATTGGGATATAAACCCTAATGGTTTTTGGACAGATGAACAAAAGATATATTCAAGCATATTAAAATATTAATGTCACTCAAATATTAGGTACTTTTATTCAAGGTAATACAAATCTGAAACGTAATATCTTGGAATGCAACAATATCCGGAGTGTATGAATATGAATGTAATATTCCGGAACGTAATAGTCCAGAATACAATTTCTCGGATGGTAAAAATATGGTACGTAGGATTCGGAAAAAATATAAATGGTTTTTAAAATAAAAAATGTGTAACACTAGTCTATGGTTAATAGTAATTTTTTTGAAGTGAAGCTTCTTCACGCGTGCTGGATTAAAATTTCAAGGCCAAACGAGACGAAAATCGTCAGGGTCGGCTTCGATCGTTGGTCGACAGTTAACCGACACGCGTCGTAATCACGTCATCAGTTGTTAACACACTCACACACACTAGAGACACTGGCAGGGAATACAATCAGAAAACCATTCTGATGAATTTTTAATATAATATTTAATGCAGGTCGAACGTCTCTTTCAGAATATTATACCACTTTTATATCTATGTACAAAAATATGTAAAATAAAACTTTGTATTTCGGATCTATTCACTATAATTCAAACTTGTAGGTTATCTAACTACTTTTTGGACTGTTAAAAAGAAACATGCAAATGCATATAAATCCGGGCCAATAGTTATAATTATTATCCGTTATTTTCTTATCTATAAATTTGCTATAGCCCACAGAAGTATCACACTAAAAGCCATTTTATTTTAGATTCTGAGTGGAGCGAAGAAGCTTATGGTCTTTCAAAGATGTTTATTTTTTATTATTTTTTTTCTGTGAACAACTTTTTTACTAGCAATTTTGCTTTAATTCACAATGATAGCACTTTTTCTGAAAAGAAATTTGATTGGGAAGGTACTTTAGAGAAGTTACTTTTCAATTTTCTCAGGAGTTTTCTTAACAAATGTGAACAACCGGGAAAAAATATCGAAACAAAAATAGATTAAACAAATATTATTAAAGAAAATACATTATGCCTATTTAATTATTTTACCATAATATGATTTGTATATCTTATTAACAAAGAATCATTATCAACTGAACTCTGTTTAGAATCGTTTTTTCGTTAGCAATGGTTTATTCGTTGCTTACAGGTATACATTAAATTATCTCTAACAGAGGCTACACCCGATCCCATAATCCTAGGACGTATTATTTTTACTGTCTAGTCACTATTACACACTTATCATAGACCATGATTTATTTTATAAAATATTTAAGAAACAAGCTGCTCCACAATAATTTTATATTTATGTTATTTTTTGTATACCCTTATTTTTAAGGATAAAACCATTACTTACTTTTGATTTTTAAGTAGCAATCTATATTAAAAAGTCCATAAATAAAAGAAGTATGAGTTAAAATAAATTTCAATGTTGAAATTTTTGATTTCTGTAAAGTCATTTACGAGATATTCCATTTTTAATTTTAGATTGGAGGGGAGTAGTGGTGCATTATTAATACGCCGCGCGCCGTACCGCCACACAAATGGTACTCCACTACTCTCTTTCAACCCAAAATTAAAAGTGGAATATCTTGTCAACAGATTGACGGAAATCAAAAATGTGAACACTAAAATTTATTTTAACTAATATACTATCCGTTATTGGACGTTTTAGTATAGGTTGCCATTAGAAAACCAAAAGTAGGTAGTAGTTTTACTCTCAAAAATAAGGGTGACAAAAAATAACATAAATATAAAATTGTAGAGCAGCTTATTTCTTAAATTTTCTAGAAAACAAATTTTGGAAATTTTAATACTTTCCGAGATAATGAGTATACCCACTTAAATAAATCACATGGTATTTATGAATATAGTCACAAAATTTTTGTTCAAAACTAAGAGGAGTCTCTAATCCTTAACCTTATTTTCTAATTTTAATAATTTTGTTTAATGACTAATGTCATTATGTCTATTTGTATTAGATTTTAGTACATTTCGATAAATTTCGTCGTACGTATTAGTTTGCGCTAAAATGTTATAATTTTCTACAATAGATATGTAAGCTTTGTGTCTTTTTTGTTGGGTTTGTGTAACTACTATTTCAATAGTCTTAAGTACTATGTCTTTGAATTGCTCTTTATAAGTGGTGCAATTAAGATGGTGCCTAAGGAGCCACATTTTTTTAAAAATCACTCCTTGGTTGCATCACTGTATTTATTTAATAATTTGGTGGTCCGCTCTTGGTGGGGCTCAAACACTTTTAAGGTTTATGGTGTAATTGCACCATTGGTCTGAACTATATTCAACTTAAATGAATAATTTCATATTATCTTTTCAAGTTAATATATCGTCATTTGGAAATTCTCTCCCCAAAACATTATAAAGTAAAGGCAAGTTTTTATTTGTAATTATTATTATTATATAGAATTAATATAATAAAATATGGAGTACTAAACAACACAAATAAGTTTTACGTTATCTCGGATAACACAATGCGTAGATATTAAACATTACGTGGTTGATAAAATGTATATGATATATAACCATGCTGGTTATATCAAATCGGCTGGTCTAGTTTATGACCTTGGATAAGTACGCCAGTAACCTACCGAACATTACTACAAAACATGACCTATGTAGTTAAAAAGTGTTCTTATCTACTATACTGCTTCATCTACTACAAACCCTGTGCAAACTATTTTCGTACTTTTTTTTCCAATTTTATTATGTCCGAAAATTTTACTCTTAACTGTATATCCGGCTTATGTTATATTTTATCTCATGACCACAAGATTACTGGTGAACAACAGGGTATCTACGAAAAGAATGACCACATTAGACACAAAAAAAGGTCTTGATGGAATGTGTACTGACCGTATCAGCCCCCAATAGTTTTTAATGCAAGTAAAATTTTTAAAAAGATACATTTTGAACAACGTTTTATATACATATTTATAATATGAGGTCATTTTAAAGTGTATAATGAACTATGTTAACTTATTTTAGATTCTGTGCGGAGTGAGGAATGTATTAGTTTTACAAAATAATGTTTATTTTTGTTTCCTGTAGACAAATTTTCTACCAGTAATTTTCCTCCGTATTTCAATTATAGCAATTATTCTAAAAGGAATCTGACTGGGGTAGTACTTAGGGTAATCATTTTTTGATTTTTCTGGCTGTTTTTATAATAAATGTGGAAAAACCGAGGAAAAAATGTAGGAGAAACGGCAGTATAGGTATAATATTATTAAACAAATATTATTAAAGAAAATATATAATGCATAATATTACATGTGTAACAATTTTATCATAATATGACCTATATAATATTGTAAACAAAGTAAAATTATTAGCCGAACTCTGCTCAGAATCGTTTTTCGTTAGCAATGATTAATCGCTACAGATACACATTGAATTTCCACTCTACTTTCCCAACTTCTCATTTACAACACAGACTCTTCCATCTTGCGAAGTATGTCCGTATCTTTTTATTCATCATTCTTTTTGCTAATTATTTTAATGCATTTCTATTAGTAGGCACCTAACTATAATGTATATAGATAAAATAAAATACATTTTAAAGAAACGAGACAAGGAAAATAACGTATACCTAGTAATAAAGGCATTTTTCTATTTTAGATTTTGGTACAAATGCCGAAGTAGGAAATGGAAAATCAGCTACGAAAAAAGGTTAGTGATATAGATTATTGTCATTTTTAAATAATATTGTTTCGTATTTCTTTATTCGAATTGGATTCGAATTACGGTATTTTTGTATACGAATTAATATAATATCAAAACACAATATAGTACTCCTGAAAACTCCACTAATCAGTGTTACTATCTAAATAACCAAGGGATGAAAATCATTAAAAACGTAGACAAGTTGCCGAGGACAGTTTAGGTTTTAAGGAATTTTAGCTCTTGTGTGCACCCTGCGCTGTTCTAACATGACCTACTCTAAAATTCACAGTTTTAATTTAAAATTGTGGTTTTAAAGCAAGTTGTCAATCACAGAATTAATCAAGTACATAGGTAAGTAAGTGTATATGACGTGTCAGTCGTCTGGAGAGTACGTGAGGTTATCTTATATAAATCGTGTGCACATTTAAACTTATAAATTAAAACTACACGAAAACGAATTTTCTAAAAATATAACACAGTTAATTTATTAGACTCTCACCAAACAGGTCTTCAGGTCTTTGAAACTTAAAGCCCCGGAGATGAGTGAATTTTTAAATATAATTTTCATATAATATCATCAATTAGTATTAATTCTGTTAAGTATCATAAACTAGATACGCTGGGTAGTAAGTTTCTACCATTGCGTTCAACGATCACGTTGAGCGATAACGTTCAGCAATTTATTCTTGCAAGCTTATTGCAATTACAGTGAATAGCTATAATAGCCATTTGATATAAAGCCAATAGGATATAGATATGGTCCACATCCATGCTTAATTATATTATAGTTGTGTATGTATGTGTACTATCAGGCGAAGGTCAGAATGTTTTGACTTTTAGGTTCACGATATGAGGTTTACTGATTTTTTGGATTTTTCGGATTCTTATCTCGTGCAGAAGAACATACTTGTGCCTTATAAATAAACATAATAAACAATATTCCTTTTATAGATTCGGGTACTTACAGAAAACGGGTATTACAATCTGTGCATCTACAAATAATAGTTAGTATAACATTATATAAGAGAACAATAAGTTCTTCATGTCAGAGTAATCTGTACAATTTCTTTTTAATAATTTAGACGCGAAAACATAGAAAAACTGTAATTATATATTTATATTCAACAATAATGAAGGACTGAATTATTGAGCAAAAGTTATGTTTTTTTTTAAATAATTTAGTATAGTTATAAATTCCTAACTGTATATAATAATATTTTCATAAAAAATTAAAAAATTTTGAAAAAAAAAAAAAAATATAACACATATAAAAAAATAAAAAAACAATAAAAAAAAATGATATAGGCTAAATTTTGATAATTTAATGATTCATAGTCCATAAATTTCACAGGGTAGTTTTCTAATATTTAAGCATCAAGTATTGGTTTAAAATTTTGACCAAAAAAATAGCAGTCGAAAAATTTTCGACAATGGTATGGACGAAATAGGTTATAGTTTAAGATATTTAATGTGCTAAAAAGGTAAGCAAAATAATAGTGATTATTATTAATCTATAAAGGGGAAATATAAATATTTTATACTATCATAAAAATGATAAAGCCATTACACTTGTACAGATTTGAATAAAAGAAGAAGAAGAAGAAGACGAAGACGAAGAAGAAACAAAAAACTCGCTAAAGATTTAGTAAAGGTATACGGTTAGTAATTAAATTCAATGATATAGAGAGTATGAGTAAAGGTATGAGTAAATTAATATATATTTAACATTATAAAATATTTAATTTTTAATTTTAAAATTCAAATAAAACTAATTTGATGTTAATTTTTAATCCATGAACATCAGCGTGAAAAGGAAGTACATGATAAAAACATAATAATTGCACAATTTTGATGATTTTATGATTTTTAAACTGTCGATATTTAGTGTTTAACTTTGTAATATTCAAAAAATTAGTTTCTGGCGATAATTATCATCAAAATAAAGGCAGTCTAAAACCAGCAAAAATAGTACGTCCTCATTATTCTATGTTCATATTAATATGGTTTACATTAATGAATATTTAAAAAATATTGTCTTTAAATATTGGGCAGAGCAACTGTTGATGCTATTTGTGTCAATGGTACCTAAAAGCGTTCATTTTTTAAATTTATTAGTTTTCTATGTTCCAGTTTGGAGGAAACCCAGTCATTTATAATGTTTATAGATTTTGGGAAAAAAGTAATCAAAGTGGTAACAGTTAATATCATGATTAATTTAAATCATGATTGATTATCATCATATTACTCTGGTAAAATAAACGTTCTTTTAAAATATCATTACAATTATTTAAATATTTTATTTGTACATATTTTAAAAAAAAAGATAGGTCATGAAAGTCTGGCAAAAGTGAATAGTTAGTAAAGAAACTCAATGTTCTATGTTACATTAGTAAATGTTCAATATATTTGCAAAATTTTAATTTTTTTAAGTAATTTTTGATAGTTATTAAATAAATAATTTTACTAAATTTTTGTTAAAGTTTACCCCGTCAAAAACCAAGAACCAGCCAAATTTTGTTGATTTTAAAACTTACTATATTCACTGAGTAATTTTCTATTTTCCAAATATATTTTCAGTCGATGAAAAAAAAAGTAGTTTTATCCCCTCATGATCATAGTAAGTCCATTTTGGATATAGTTTAATTCGATTTCATATGATTTAATTAGCTGTATCAACTAGGTTCGCTTGTGAGCTGTTATGTACTCAAATATTTAATATTACTTTTATATTTCGCTTATGTGAGAAGTAACACGTTAGCTAAATAATGTTGTAAAAACAATAATTTAAAAAACTAAATACTTTTTAATAATATTTAATATAATTGTATAGTTGTTGCCTGCAACTTTGTTTGCGTAATCACTATTTTTGTTTAATGATTTGCGTGACATTCATTGTAAAATCCGGAAAATGAGGGTGAAATAATTTAAGTTGTTATTTACAAGAGGATGTTTATTTATGTTTTTTTCATAGTTATATTAATTCTAGCTAATCTAATCCAGGATTGCTAGTGTATTTTTAAAACCTTACCTAATCAACCAGAAATTAAAGTTTTAGTATTTCAAAGAAAAAGTGATATGTTTGAGACAACCATAATCGGAGACATGTTGAGATAAAATATAGCTTACATTATTCAGCGATAATAATGCAAAAATAAAAATGTAAGATAATAGGGACGGGTAGGTGAGGTGTAGGTGGGAAGTTGAGAAGGTAGGATATAGACGGGAATTTAATATGTATCTGTAAGCAACGATAAACCATTGCTTATGAAAAAACGATTCTGAGCGGAGTTCAATTGATAGTGATGCTTTGTTACCAATATATAATATATCATTATGTAGTAAAATAATTAAATAGGCTTTACATATTTTCTTTAGTAAAATTTGTTTAATGTTGTACACATTTTCCGAAATTTCCTACGTTTTTCTTGGTTTTCCCATGTTTTATCCCAGTTTTTTACACTTGCTGGGAAAACTCTTGAGAAAATCGAAAACTTACTTTCTTCAAGTACCTTCCCATGCCGATTTCCTGTCAGAAAAGATGTTAATCGTAGAAATCCGAGCAAATCTTCTGGTTGAGCACATATAAAAAAAAATTTGGTGAATTTTGGTGTCAAATTTCCCAATTTGTATCTATAACATTAAATAAAACTACAAAATTAAAATTGTATTAAAATATACAATTTCGAAAATATTTATGCATTTAGATTTTCATACATATTTTAACGAACTGAGAATATCCTGTGGTGAAAAATGTTTTCCTACTCGGGAATATCACACCGATTGATCCATTTCATGTTTTCTTGTATAAATATGTTCAAATAAATTAAAAGTATTACAATATCTTCTCTTATATTTCGACGATGACATTACATATTTCATTAAATCAAAAACTGAAAGTGATGTAATTATAGAAAAATTATATAACTACTATTATAACTAATTTTACTATAATAGAATTATAGTAAAATAGAAGTAATTAATATTGCATATAATTTTAATTGTTTTGATTGATTTATAAAAACAATCAACAGAAACAAATTCAATTGTAATATCGAATTTGAATGCATAAAAGTCACACAATGATGACGTACTATAAGCATATTAAATACATTATCTAATATTTTTTATGTAAATCGATTGTTCAATCGAAATAATGCTTTAGATCCTAATCTGGAAATAATTTAAAAAAAATAATAAATTCCAAAGCTCAATCAAAAATCATTGCCTTCTATAATTATGAAATAAATAAAAGAGTCAACAATTAAACGATGTTTTTATAAAACAATACTTATGTCCAATAAGTAGTGAATACATTAAAATAAAAAATTATTTTATATTTGTTAAAATTCAGTTCTTGCAAAACTAAACAAAAATAATGGATGAAGAAATAAGAAATAATATTAAGTTATATATAAATTATATATATAGTAATATGATCTCCTGCCGTTCATAACGTGAAAGTGGAAATGACGAATATTTTTTATTCTTGTTTTAGAACCAGGCAAAAGTGCAGAATTTAATATAGAAATAACAACACCTGGACCCTACAGTACGTCTATTAAACAAATATTTAATAATTATTGAATTGAATTTAATATTCTAGCGTACAAAATAATATTAAATTACAAACGTAACTTGCCAATTATTGAAAAACCATTCTTTTTGCATTTGTAAGGTTCATAAAAATAAAGAAGTAATTTCTTATTTTTAAAAGATAAAAAAATGCTAATGTATCGATTAATGAAACAAAAGCACTCTAATTAGGTTGCATTCAATTACACATAATCAGTTAAATGTTTAATTGTGATATCAAGGTTAAAACAGTCATCAATACATTACGATTTGAACGTATCATATCTCTTTGATAAATCTCATTTGTAAATGTACTTTAGATTTGATAAAAAAGTTTCCTGCGAACCTACGCAAGCAGAACGATGGAGGTAAAAACAAAAATTATTGAGTGTTGTCCCAGACGACAAGATATTGATAAACTCAAACCTATAATGACGAATATATTTTTCTCTTGATTTAGAACATTCAGATAGTGACGAACACGATAAACAAGAAAAAACACCGGGAGGCCACGGTATGTGTATAAAGTTTTAATTAACTCGATTTCGGATATATTGAAAATTCTATGCTCTCGACGACAACTTATACCACTTAAATATATTTTCAAATTATAGATTAAACACCCTTATCACATTTAGGATAATTTTAATCGATATTAGAGTAATATATTTATTATGAAATAAATATATTTGCCCATGAATTGGTGAAATGAAATCAAAAAGATATATTTATTATATTTTCATTTACTTGTAATTCTCATAATGTATATTTGTGATATCGAAACAAAAAGTTTAACAAAATTGTTAATATATGAACGTCAAAAAACCGAGTTCCGGCAGGAGTAAATGAAAACCACGATCATGGTAAAGTAAAATGTTATTATATTATGTACATTATTTCAATACGAACTTAAATATAATGTTTAACAGTCCAAATTTTGTTTTATCCTTACACTAGCACCAGCCCATAGTTCCGAACACCATAAGGAGAAAGATTTACCTGTAGCTCACGGTAATTTTAAATAAATAATATTTATTATTTATCCATTGGAAAATATCCTATTTCTTTAATTAATCTTTAGTAAAAATTATATTTCACGTTTTCGAACAAATATTCCTGTGTTTTTCTTTAGGGTTTCTAAAGAAATAGAATGCAATGTTTTACAATTTTTTGTATTGCACGAGCCTATGTTTAGGATCAATAAAGTT